ATGAGTATATGAATGCAGAGAATTTCTGTGTAGCTATTTAAGGAGAAAAAAAGAAATCATGTCAGAGACCAAGGCAGCGTTGAATGAGAGGATGAGAAAGAGTTACTCCTCCTGGCCAGAAAGACTGGGAGAGGCAGCTGGGTGGGGAAGAGAGTTAATGACCTGGAAGTGGGAGCAGGCATTAGCAGCAGTTAAGAGGGGAGTTGCTCTGCAGCCTCAAGGGCAGCTTGGAGCCTTGCTGATGAGATTTGCAGCTCTGGGAGAGGGTGCACCTTTTCAGTAAGCTGCTGTATTTTCATGTTTTGCACATATCTCCGTGGGGCTTGTTACTGCAGTACCTGGAGTTCATTATTCAGAGACAGGCATTACAGTGTGTTCATGTTACTTCTGAGGCAGAGAGCCTCATTTTAATAGGGAAGCTGTGTAACAGCAGACAAAGAGAGAGAGCAGGTACTGACTTGAGGGATGGGAAAGGAAGAGTCATCTGAGGAGGAGGAGCTGAGAGCAGATCTGGGCTGGGAAGCTTAGCAAGCAGGGGATGCTCAAGGGACCAGTGAGGCAGAAAGGGCTTCCCGAGTGGCGATGCACCCAGCTGCAGTAGGAGTGCCTGCAGAGGTGAGGTCATGCATGGGTAGGGGAGCGCAGGAGAAGCTAGCACAGCTCAGGGTGGCTGGGGGTAGAGGATCTCTGTTCTCTGGGGTGAAGAGGAATGGCACAGAGCAAGCTCAGGGCCTGGGGCTCATTGACTTGTTCAGGCAAGCTCCTAACAAAGAGAAGTGGTGGGAAGCAGTGTTCTCGAGGCAAGGAGCCTGTGTGCAGGAGTTCTAATTTGGTTTCATTTAGGGGTCCTGTTGGCACAAGGAGCTGCTCCACTGCAGTGGGGAAAGTGGGACTGCCCCACTGTGCTTGGTGCAAACACCTTTATGCTATTCTCTGGTCACTGCAGCATGTGCAGTGTAACAGTCACAGCAAACAGTGTCCCCCAAGCTGTTGGCTTTGTCACGGTGTGTGAGCCCTGCTTGTCAGAAGGGGACTGAGCCTGGTCAGGTAGAGGGGTACCTGCATCCATGGAGCAGTTGGCTGGTGTTGGTGTCAGAGAAGGAGTCTGTACATGAAGAGAAAAGCTTTCAGGTTCAGTAGTCTGCTGTGTTTTCAGGCATGGAAACTTCAGAGAAGAAAGTGTTAGGAAAATTAAAATAAACCTTTACTGATTCATGTGGCCGAGGTAGGAGGTGTTGAAGGCAGCAGGACAGCAGGCCTGCCACAGGAAGCACCTCCTGAAAGCAGGGATTCAATTTGATGACAGAAAGTGCCTGTACAAATAGTCCATCATAAATATGTGAGCACTACAGAATATATCTGACCTCTCCAGCCATCAGTTTTTCTCTAGCAATCCCAGTTTTGTGACTTTTGTATGTGTATGGCTATTTCTTAAATAGCTGGCAGCTAAACCTGAAGCTATGTTTTGTCTCTCATCATGCAAGACGTTGAATACTGTGGACTGTTGAAGACTGGTGACAAGGACTTTTCCAGCCCCCTGATGCAGCCTGTGTTTACATGGAGTAAACACACCATGCTCCAAGCGTTTGCCTGTGGTGTTTTTGGGTGGGTGAAGAGTACACAGGCACATACTATAAGCTAGGAGGGCCCATGTGTCCTGCTTCCTTCATTGTTACCTGGGAGGCCACCAGTGCATCTTATGTTTCTCTCTGTACCATCTTTTCTCTGTGTTGGCTCAGCATTCAGGTTTTTCCCTCCTTCCCCATGGAAGGAGAGTGATGCAGAGTCAAGGACTCCCAAAGGCATCTGGACAACATTTTGAGTGGCTCACACTGCCCTAATACCCAAGTATTCAGGGTGAGGAATGAACTTCTCTGTGTTGGAAGCTGGCCAGCTAGGCTTTGTCCTGACTTAACTGAGCAAAGACCATTCTTTAGGATAAGTTGCCTCCAGTTTGTAGTCTGGGCCTGCTTTGTTTGGCAGACACTGCTGTTTTTATCACAAGCTCATCTGGCTCCCTCCTCTCATCATGGACAACGCTGCTCTGTGAAGGGAATCTAAACAAATGTAAACTGTAGAGAGTTCAAATCCTGTTGTCTCCCCCCACCTTGGCTTGGAGCTGCGCGTGAAACGGAACCACTCAATATTTCCTTCAAACAGAGCCAGACCAGAACCAAAATTTTTCTGATTTCTCATTCAAAGTAATGGCTTGGCAAAAAAAAAAAAAAAAAATTGATGTTTTGTATTGGGCTCTGTTTTCCATGGGGCGTCTTTGCACTTGCTGTACAGATCCCAATCTGTAGAGCAGCATCTCCTTGTAGACAGCTTTCCCTGTTCCTATCTTGCTGCCTTCCCACATGCTGCAGGTGCAGTAACTCTTGCACTGCAGTGCTGTGCTGCTGCACCTCTTTGGAAACCAGTTCAGGGAAAGGACTGTGCAGAGTAGCTGCAGCTCAGCCAGGAAGAGTCTGGCCCTCTGGAGGATGGAGAGCTCTGCTGAGCTCCTGCACTCCCTCAAAACACTGCTGGTCACTGTTCTGGTGAGGTGTGCATTTGTACCATTGTGCTCTATGGGACAGCTGGGAATTATGGGGAAAGAAGGAGGTGGTGTCCAAGGATTTCACTCACCTTTGCTCCCCATCCGTTGTGCTATTCCTGTTGTATCCTAAACAGGTTCATCCTGCAGCTCCTTGGCTTGGTGTACCAGCAGGAAGGAGGTGGCTCATGCAGCGCAGCCAGGGTAGGCTGGGTGCTGGTTCCAGCTAATCCCTCTGCTTCCTGGCAGGATGTTGCCCTCTTTTGTGCTGAGTTTTCCACAGGTTGGGTCAGTGTGAAATTAAAGGGTCAGTTGAGTCATTATGCTCCAAGTGGGAATTGGAATCAGCAGAGCTTCAGCAAGGTCGGAAGAGAGCTGAGCTGAGCTAACACTGGCTTGAGTTTCTGGTCACATGCTAAACATGAGAAAGTGCCTCTGTTAGTGCAGTTGGAAAGGAGTATGCAGGCAGAGTTTGTGAGGCTAAAAGGAGTGATGTGGGAAAAGCCCATCTACTGAAATCCAGACAGCAGTGAGGCAGAAGAGATGGGAGAGAGCAGCCAGGATGGGCTGGGAGAGCCCACAGCCTGGGACCTAAGGTTGAGTATGTTTGTATGTATGGTCCATGTGGTTTGTAGATACTCCAGACAATGAATGCAGCAATGATTGTAGTGGTCTTCAGTATTGCCTTTCCAAGGTCATTATGTCTGCTCTGTGCTACATACTGCTTTACTTTTTCCCAGGTGATTCCTTGCACAAGGACAAAGAAGCAAATTGCTGGTTTTCTAAACTTGCTTGTTGTGTGTTGTACAGAATGCTGCAGAGACAGCAGCACGCTGAGATTTGTGTTTGGACCACAGAAAGTTCTTACTTCTGCTTCATGTAACTTGTCGCAAGATGTGACTTTTCTTTCTATCTCCATAGTACTGGTGTCTTTGTGGTACCTTGCAGACATGAGTAAAACTGATGTTTACTTCGCAGGTATGCTGCAAATGCAACCAGTAGCTCTAGAGCTGGCAGAGCTGGAACACGTGAGATGCACTTAACTGCAAGTGCAACAGTGGAAAACCTGCCTGTTTTTTTCATTCCAAGAAGATGCTGATGGCATCTGCTTTTGAAGCTTGTAGGTGAAAGCTTCTGAGTTGTTTTACCCTCTTCTCCCTCATCAGGCCCAGCAGCCTCAGCAGCAGCCGCAGCAGCCACAGCAGCAGCCACAACAGCAGCCAACTTCAAATAAGCGGCCCAGTAACAGCGCTCCCCCCCCAACCCAGCTGAATAAAATCAAGTACTCAGGGGGACCCCAGATTGTGAAGAAGGAGCGCCGGCACAGCTCTTCCCGTTTCAATCTGAGCAAAAACCGGGAACTGCAAAAACTCCCAGCCCTCAAAGGTAAAGAGCCAGTGGGATGGGAGTGACCTGCAGGACAAGCTGCAGTTTCTCCAGGCAGAGTGTAAGGGCTCTTCCCAAAGCAACCTTTACAGTGTCCAGCTAGTTATAAGGGCAGTGTAGCAAGTAAGGCATATAAGGGCATTTCCCAGTATGGTTCTGGGAAAGGTGCTTGGCTTGTTAGCAGGTAGAGAATTGATGGATGGCCTAAAATAATCAGAGTATTCTCAATGCAAACTTTGTACTTACTCTCCCAGCTGAGCTATTTAAACTTTTGTGCTTCTGTGTACTGAGGATTGCCTCAGATTATTCAGCAGGTTGTGCAGGAAGGTAATGAAGTTCAGAGACTTGGGTGCAGACTGTCCTTGGTTCCTATATCCACCCATTCCTGGGGAAGGACCAGGCTTCCTCCTCATTGTGTTTCCATTGCAAATTTCAATACTGCAGTTGAACCTGTCCACTTTAGGGCAGCTTGGTATTAGCACTTAGTGTACTTAGTGCATTATGTTGCAATTAAACATGAATGTGGACAAGGAGAAAGCATTTTCAGCAGTCATTGAGCCAGACCCATTGCTTGATGTTGCTCTTGGACACAGACAAGCCTTTGGGGAAGGCTGAGGCAGCGTGTAGTTTCCAGTTGTATCAAAAAGAGAGTCTGTTAGTGTACAGCTGCTGCCACCCTGGCCCCTCTCTTCTGCCCTGTCCTCTGGCAGGAGGGTTGGCTACAGTGTGTGCTGCCCAGCTCCCTTTGTGTCTCTGGGGTGCAGGACATGGCTGTCACTGGTCTGTGATGGGAGCTGGTTGAGTTCCTTTTTCAATGTACTCTCTACAGGGAAGAGATCAGTGCTTACCAGGTTAGAAACTGCGACCACGTTTGAAATCCCCTCATGGGATAGTTGCTTCAGAGGCCTGGCAGTCTCTCTGCCTCCCTTGTCCCATGTCCATAGCAGGGATAACACTGCCTCTCCCTCTCCAGCAGCTCAAGGGCAATGTGATAGGGGAGGGGGAAACCACAGGGAACAAACCACAGTGATACCTGGGCAAACCAGGAAGATGATCTGCCTGTCTCCAAGGACAGATGTCTCTGCTTTCTCTGACAGATGCTCCTCCACACGAACGAGAAGAGCTTTTCATCCAGAAGCTGCGGCAGTGCTGCGTTCTTTTTGACTTCATCTCTGACCCCCTCAGTGACCTGAAGTTCAAGGAGGTGAAGCGAGCAGGTCTCAATGAGATGGTGGAATACATCACACACAACCGTGATGTTGTCACCGAGGCCATCTATCCTGAAGCTGTTATCATGGTAGGGCATGGAGCCAGTGTTTGTGTGGCTTGTGTGCCAAAGAAATAGGGAAGTGTGGGAGGAGGAGGGATAGGGATTTGTCAGAGAGGAGTGTGACCCCAGTCCTACCCATTCCTTATCTGCCCACCTCCAGAAAGAGAAGTGTGTGTGGGGGTGGTGGTAGTGACAGTGCCTGCTCTGGGGAAAGGTGGAAGCGCTTGTCGCTGGCACAGACTGCATTTGGGGAGGTCCTGTGCAGACTGTAACCCTACATCCTGCAGGAAGGGATCAGTGTGTAGGCACAGCTGTGACAAATCACAATGTGTTGCACTGCAGTGAGAGATTTGCTGTGTGGAGGGCCATCCTGAGGTGTCAGAATGTAATTCATGCAACTTTTTCACTCATATCAGTTTTCAGTGAACCTCTTCCGGACACTCCCACCATCGTCCAATCCCACAGGAGCAGAATTTGACCCTGAAGAAGATGAGCCTACATTAGAGGCTGCCTGGCCACACCTTCAGGTGAGGAGGGGTGGGGGATATAGATCTGGTTAATTTATCTCCAGGAAGTTGAGAGTCCGTGTAAAGCTGGATGCTGCCAGCCCTACCACTGCTGCTTCACCAGCCTGCGAGGGTTGCTGGGGAAGAGACCAGGCCTGCCACCCAGGGGTCAGAGGTGGCTCTTCCGTAGTGCAGGAAGCAAGGGTGTCCTGGGAACTGGCTGATGCCTGTATGCAGCATTCAGCTGCAGATGTCTTTAGACAGACTGGGTGAAAAGGGCTAGGAAAGTGACCGTGAGCATGGTTCAGCAGAGCTCAGCAGTGGAAGTCAGGAGGAAAGCTCAAGGCACTTGCACAGGCATGTGTTGTCAAGCAGACAAAGGCAGAAAAAGAGGCAGGTACTGCAGAATGAAGCAGAAAATACAGAGAAGAAATAAGGTGTCATTCTGCAGCAGTGGTTAATCACTTCTCACTGCTGCAGTTGACATAGGGATGTGAGCGTTGATAGAAATAGCGTGTCTTCAGCACCAGAGTGCTGTGAATGCTAGGCAGCAATTGTTTCTCAGAATTGAGTCAGCAGCAACCAGCATGGATTTGTGGCAACTGAATGCTGAGCTTTTTGGTCAGCACCTCAGTTTTTTCTTTACTGCTGTCCTTGGCAGATAGGCCCTACCTGTAGATGCATGGTCCTATCATTCTTTTAATTCCAAAGTCAGACCTTTCAAGTGTATTGATCTTTTTCAGCCTAGTGGCCCCTCAGAACCAGTAGGATGGATAAGAGTGGACTCAGTCCTCTCAGAGAACAGCAGGACCAGAAGTTAATGTTTCAGCCCTCTTAAAGCAAGCTGTCCTTTGTTTTCCAAGTGGGACACAGCATGCAGCTCTCTTGGCTTAGTGAGGCCATGCCAACCTTGAGTCAGTACCCAGGAGGCAGAAGACACTGCATGTTTTCTTGGGGTCCATTTAATTTCTCTGCTCTTCTGTTACTCCTTAGTGTGTCTTAAGGAGTGACTCTCAGTGAGTCTGAGCCTTTGCCATCTCTGGAGATTTCTGATCTCTCTAGGGACATGTGCTGAAGATGTGAGAAGAGTTTCCCAGGCCTAATGTCTTAATCTGAGTAGGTGGGTGGTATCTTTGGGGGGACCTGAGGTGATGAGATCTCACACAGATTTGGGCAGTTATGTGCCACCAGAGACCCCTGCCCATTAAAGCAAAGACAGCTGAGTTGAAATACTGTGTTTTGTACTCCTGTTCAAGCTTCCCAGACTTTCCCTGAATCCTTAAGGAGAAGGAAAACAAAATCTGAAGTAAACACTGTTGAGAGTACAGGGGGATTTCTAAGTAATCTCTCCTTTTCCCCTGACAGCTGGTGTATGAGTTCTTCCTCAGGTTCCTGGAATCGCCTGACTTTCAACCAAATGTAGCCAAGAAATACATTGACCAGAAGTTTGTGCTATCTGTAAGTAATTGTCCCTGCCACTATGCACCACCTTTATGAAGGACATGCAGCAGATTTTAGTGCTTAATGATGTGACCCTTCTTTATTTGTCTTGAATGAGCAGGCAGGACTTTCTGTGCAGGGCAAGACTGTGTGCAAGCTGTAGTCACTGGAACCATAACTCATTGTACAGGTGAAGAGGGGCACGGGGGCCTTGCAGGGGAAATCTGGGGACATGTAGCTTTGTAGAATGTGCAGGCCATCACTGTGCTTCTGAAGGTGAAAGAAATTGTGATGGTTCCAGCTTGTGATTAGGAAGTCACATGTTTCAGAGAAATGACCATTGTGATCAGGGTGCTGAAGGCATCGCTCAACTGCAAGAACTGTTTTTGCCAAACAGGAGCAGTGCCCAGTGTTGCTAGTAGCTTTGCCCAGACAGACAGTGTGCAGGCACTGACTGAATTTCTTTCCCCACAGCTGCTGGATCTCTTTGACAGTGAAGACCCCAGAGAACGAGACTTCCTAAAAACTATTCTTCACAGGATCTATGGGAAGTTCCTGGGTCTGAGAGCATATGTGAGGAGGCAGATCAATAATATATTTTACAGGTGAGGTCTTTCTTAGCACCATTTAGACTCCCTGTCTACAGCAATTTTCCTTCCTTTTGCTTATCAAACTGTATCTAGCATTTGGCAATGACTTCTCATCCTTCTCTTTAGGTTCATCTATGAAACAGAACACCACAATGGAATTGCAGAGCTACTGGAGATCCTGGGAAGGTAAGGCCACTTTGGGGAGTCCCAGAGGGCCCATAGTGAGAGAGACTCCCAACCCAGTGTGCTATGTGAAAAGGCAGTGCCTTCCTTCAGCAGTCTTTGCAGGAGGCACCTTTTCCAGAGAATCTCATTCTGACAGAGCATAAAGTAAAATACTCCCAGTGTGCTGATAAATACAGTGGTAGCCTTCTCTCCAGATGTCTCTGGTTCTTTTGAGCTTGAGTCCAGTCACACTTGCTATCTTGCTGCAGCAGGCAGTAAAAGAGAAGAGCTCCTCACACCTCTGAGAAGCTTTAGCGATGGGCAGCCTTCTCCAGGGCTTAGCTTCCCTTCTGTTGTGGCCCTGTTGTGCTGCTGTCCTCCTGTTCTGTTACGCACAAGACTCAAACATTGAGCTGCTTTGGTGCTGGCCTTCCCCAGAGGTTCTGCCTAAGTGTGTATGGGCTCAGCCTGGCAGGGGCAGAGCAGAGTGCAGGCTCCATCAGAGGCGTTTCCCTGTGGTGCCTGCCAAGAACACTCGCTGAGCTCATTGTGCAGACTGGGCTGCAGTGACCATGCTTTTGGTAGGTGCTTCCTTAAGGGGCTGGTGAGAGCTGGTGTGTCTTGTGAGGTGAGAGACACTGTATTTCTGCTGGGTCAAAATTTTAACGAGAACCTTGTTTCTTCTCAGCATAATCAATGGGTTTGCTTTGCCTCTGAAGGAAGAGCACAAGATGTTCCTCATCAGAGTTTTGTTACCACTGCACAAAGTGAAGTCTCTCAGTGTGTACCATCCTCAGGTGAGAAGTGCTTCAAGTTCCCAGGGTAGATTGGGATTTTGCAAAAGCTTATAGCTATTAAAAGCTCTATATATTTATATTAGTTTATAAGCTAATTGTTTATAGCTATCCACCAGGCCACACTGTACAAAGTTCTTGCTGTGAGATGTTCTGGGCTCTTCACTAGTCTCATACTGTCGTAGTTGTTCCATTCTTATGGTGTCTGGGTCTGTGCCACTGCACGATAGGGGAGGGTATCCTGACATTTCCCACTATCTTAATGCTGTGGCTTGCTTTGTCTTTCTGTGCTGGAAGCTTGCGAAATATTGGGGGCCTGCTGAAACCAGAGAGGTAATTTCCTAGCTGCAGTCATCAGCCTATGCATGTGGTGTATCAGCTATTAGTCACCACTGAGATATGTGGAGAAGTTGGCTTGCTAGTCTGCTAGATTAGTTTAGAGATTAATTATTTCCAATTTTGAGTGCATAACAGAAGAACAGAGAAGATCAGAACTTGAGATAGGAAGTGAAAAAATCTGGGTACTAAGTAGAAATGTCTGTTCTCTCAGCCCTGTTTCTATGGGGCAGGGCTTTGTGTCAGTCAGGTTTGTTCCTCCCCATTTTGTGCAGATGTGCTTTCATCTGAATGCATTGGCTGTGGACTGCTCTGGGTGACTGAAGTTTTATCCTTTAAATTGCACAAATGTCCTGGCCTCAGGCCCTGTCTGGTTGGTCTTCACTTGGCATCAGTAAACCGGATTTGTTAAGATGCAGCATAATGGGCATGGTGTTACTTCCAGCCTAGGAGGTGGCAGCACTTAGTCTTGGGTACACTTGAGGAAGCTCTAATCTTGCCATGTTTTTTTCTTATAGCTGGCATACTGTGTTGTACAGTTCTTGGAGAAAGACAGCAGCTTGACAGAGCCAGTGAGTAACCTTGCTTCGCTTCTGTGTGACAGTCAAGTCCCAAAGAGCTTCATGGCTTCCTTAGAGCAGCCCTTTTTTCACCCCTGCTGTAAAGAGCCTGGAAGTCAGTGGTATTGTTTACTGGGTTTGCCTGGTTCCCTGGGGGAGAAGGGGCTGTACTGCTCATGTGCAAGCCTTTAGCAGTCTCTGCTGAAGGCTTCAGGAAGGTGGGCTGTAATCTTCCTTTATGCTTCAGATCTTGGTGTAGCAGAAGGAACAGGATACCAAGCTGTTCTTCCAGGGCAGAGCTTCTGGCTAATGAGAGATACTGCAGAGACAAAATACATGATCATCTGATGGAACCAGAGCTTATGGGGACTCTGAAATAGTAAGAGTCCCCTCCAGACTGCTGGAGTTGGCTGTGGAATTGTGGGGATGAGGTTAGGAACCTGGGACACAAGGTCTACTTAGACATGCCACTGTTCCTTCATGAACGTATTCTCCTTCTAGGTTTAGCATCAGTTTGTTACCTTCTAGAGGTAAGTCACATTGTAGACACATTTGCCTTCAGGATATAGTGCTGGGAAACAGCAGGTTCTCAAATGTGAGCATTGTACATGTAGACCTCACATATTCTAGTTACTGACTGCATGGACCTGCAGTGTTAACCAGGCTAAATGCCAGCTTGGCAGAGGGTGCAAGAAGGAGACAAGTGTTTCTCCACCCACTGCAGGCCAGGAAATGTCTTCTACAGAGCTGAGCTTCACAGACTCAAAACAGCAGATGGGCAGAGAACACATACTTCTGTCACTGTAGCAGGGAGCACCAAAAGTGTGAGTGTTTTAATGAGTAATGCTGGCTGAGGTCGTTCTGTTCTCTGGCTCAAATGTGTGTGCTCATGGTGAGCCTGCCTGTGCTGGGTAGAAGAAGCTGGTCAGCTGTTGTCAGCTTTCTGGCTCCACAGCTCTAACACCAGCAGTGCTGAAGCAGACCTCCTAGCTTTTCCTTTAAACATGGGCCCTCCATTTCCTTTGTTCCCAAAAGCCTGCTCTGAAACAAATTGCATAAAGTAGCTTCCTGATCATGCTGAGTACTTCCTGTGGCTGACATCCAGTCCTACAGCCTCCTGCCAAAGCACCTCAAAGGTTGAGGGAGAAGAGAGAAATAGAAATCTCTCAATATTCCTAGGCTTCACTTTGCAGCTTATTTAGATAGTAAAGCTCCACAGCTCATCACTTTTTTCTGGATAACTATTTAGTAGCCCCTGGATTACAGACCCAGGTCTGGCTTGGTGCTTGTGGAAAGCAGTGGAATGACCCAATTTCATTACCTTAAGTGGATGTTGTGATTCAACCAGGCATACCAAGACCATGCTTCCATAACTTGCATTCTGTTGAAGCACCTTGCTTGTGAAGGTTTTGAGTAGACCCCCAAGATGACTGGTGTTATTGAAGTCTGGAAGAATTACCGGGGTTGTGCATCAGCAAGAGTTTGAATGCACAGGGAGATGTTACCAGCAGTGCTGGAAAGAGGCCAGATTACTCTCTGGGTCCACACTTGTCTCAGATGGGCCTCCCAAAAGCTTGCTCAGCAAGGCTTGACATGGTAGCTCTTGCCTCAACAGCAGTCTGAAAGACTGCCAGGTGAGCAAGGCCTCAGATGTGCTCAGTAATAGCAAACTCAGACTTCCCACACCTCACACCACCTTAGTTGTAGGTGAAATTACTTCTGAGTCATTGAAGCTAACTCTTGCCTGAATGGCAGACATGAATAATGACAAACATTGGGGATAATGAACTGCTGGCTTCTCAAGTCTTGAGTTGGCAGAAACATGATGGTCAGATATATCTAATCCTGTTGTTGCATTGCCCACTACTGTCCCTCTGCTGCTCTGAAGTTCCTCTCAAGTGCTGGCTTCAGGATCAGGCAGCTGAAGTACAGAGGTTTGGAAGGGCAGCTCCTATGGCCAGCTGTGTGTGACCCTACTGTCCACAGAGTCAGCATTCCTTCTTCCAACAGAGAGTGAATGTCTGCAACATCTTGGATCCTCCCTTTATAGCGTCTAGAAGCAGATGAGTAGGACAGGAAGCAGTACTAAAAATAAATAAAATCTAGTGAGATATTGCCCTTCCCTGTTCTTGTAAGCAATAGTTTTACTCAGCCAGAATTGCTTTGTTATATTTAATTATAACCATAAGGTGTAAACTCCATAAACTTGTCTGCTCCATTCTGGAGTCTGTTTGGACTTCGAGTCTCCACAAAGTCTTGAAAGAACGAGTTCCATAATCCAGTTACTTTTGTATGAAGTAGTATTTCCTTTCCTTGTCCCAAACTCATTCATTGCTTTATTTATTTGATGCTCCCCAGTATTGAAGCTCTGTAGTGTTTTGAATAATGACTCTTCAGAAACCTTGTCCATAGCATTTCTAGTTTTATTAGTTGACCTTCCATGGATACTTTGCACTGTCTTCCAGCTGCTGCCCACTTCAGTTTCACCCTTCTGTGTTAAACTGTAATGGGGGATAAAAAGTGATTTTAAACTTTGTGATTGTAATACAAAATCGTAGCAGCCTAGGCAGAGCTGCTGCTATGAGTGTAACTTGGCAGAGTTTGGGCTTTTGTCTTCTTTCTTCTCTGATCAACCACCCTGACTTTCTGAAAAAGTCTATTCTGTTACTTCCTCTGCTATTGCTGTTGTGACCAGACACTTAAGAATTTATTTTGCAGCTGGTGTTGACTTTGAGCCTTTAACACTGTCTCTGTACTCTTCCCACTCAGGTGATTGTGGGCTTGCTGAAGTTCTGGCCCAAAACTCACAGTCCCAAAGAGGTGATGTTTCTAAATGAGCTGGAAGAGATCCTGGACGTGATTGAGCCATCTGAGTTTGTGAAGGTTATGGAGCCCTTGTTCAGGCAGTTGGCCAAGTGTGTCTCCAGCCCACACTTCCAGGTAAGTTGCAGCTCAGGGAAGAGATTGAGCATTGACTTGTAATCCACTTGGCAGGTGAAGGTGATACCACAGGTTTTGGGCTTGTATTTGTATTTGACACGTGGAGGTGTGACCAGGGTGAGTATTGGGGTGACACGTGGTGGGAAGCAGTGAGAATCCCCAGCACAACCACAGTGTGAGTTGGTGCAAAGAGAAAGCAGAGCGGATCTGTGGAGCCTCTCCTGCTGCTCTGTTCAGCACTGTGTTCTGCAGCAGGCTGAGGCTGGAGCACAGGTGCTCTGCCACCTCCTTTTCAGGCTAGCAAGGACAGAGGATATCCATCCAGGGTCACCCTGTTGAAGTAAAATCAAGCACTCCGCAGTATTGGAGAGAGGCCAACCAAAGAAAGTCCTGTGCTGGGAAAGTCCTTTGTTTTAATCTGGCACAGGTAGTAAAGAATGAAGTATACTGGAGAAGTGCTGGGGTCTGTTTCTTCCTTGTTCCACTGAAGGGAAACTGGTTGTAGTAGCTGGCTAGTACAATCTCTGTGGATGGTAGTCTTAAGGTTTAAAAAGTACAGAGTGGTGGAACCTGCTAGCAGGTGTTCTTGGCTCACTGTTTGACTGCCATGAAGAGTGCCCAGGAAGAAGACAGCTTGCTGGTGAAACACATGGTCGACCCCTGTATAGGTGAAGTATTAAAGAGGAAATGACACAGCCATCTCCCAAGTGAGAGTGACTGCACAGTGAGGCAGGCTGGCTTTCAGTCTGTCTTTTGGTATAGAGAGGTACAAAGTCATGTGTTTACAAGCCAAAAATAAGGTCAGTCTAGGTCACACATGTATATAAAAATGAGTTTCGTGTAAAGGACTAGGGGAGCATGATGGAAACCAGCTGGATTACTGGTGTGGTGGTGGGAACCAGAGGACTAATGTGATCTTTGGGTGTGGAGGCAGCTACCAGAAGGAACTAAGGAGCTTGAATAAAGTAGGGTAAAGGCTGCAGGAGAGACATCCTGTGCTTGTTAGCAACCCTCATCTGCTGCCAAACTCTGAAGAACAATACTGAGAAACCTGGAGAAGGTGCAAACACTTTAGAACCTAAGAGAATTAACCCCAAAGGTGTCCCATACAGTCAGACTGAACACTCTACAGCTTTCTGAAGAGAAAAATAAGGAATTGACTTCTTGATGAGTCTGAGCACCTTGGTGTTTTCTCTGAGTGGAGAAGCTGGTGTTAATCTAGCAGAAAAAGGCTTAACCATATCTTGAAAACCAAAAGCTAGGTAAGTGAACACAAAGTGAGTTTCATTTCATTTACTTGTGTGGAACAATATGTTAAGGGGATATAGCAAGTTCTGCATTATTTGAAATGTAAAACAGAGTTTGGATGTCTCTTTTCCTAGGTTTTTAAGCCTTTCTCAAGCTAGCACTAAATGCAGAAATTAGCCTGCATTGTCTGTCACTGTGTGGAAACTTGTTAGACTTGTTTGTCTTGTTAGAGCAGGACGGCTGCATCAAGGTTTTCCATATTTTCACCTTTACTAAATCAGGGGGTTGAATTGTGGGACTGGTGACTGAAGCGTGCTTCAAAGCCCTGAAAGACTGTTGTGGAAAAGCCAGGGAGGAATGGAACTTTACAGAGGACAGTCTGAGGAAATGAAGAAGGCTTGGAGCTAATCTGAATTGGGACCTGGAGTAGATGTCATTACTGTCCTTAAGTGTTGTGTAAAGGGTGTTGGAATCATCGGTATACTGACAGTAGGGTTGTCTATCCAAGAACATGAGGTTTTTCTCAGAAAAGTGAGGAGTGTCTAGCAGTGGCTATGGCAAAGGAAGGATGAATGGCCTCATAGAAATTCATGAGGGTCAGCCCTGTACTGTGGGGAAGCATGTGGGCTCCTTGGCTGGGTGATGGCTTCCCTGTGCACCACAGGTGTTACTGGAAGGAGCTTCTTCAAGGATGGCTTTCTTTACTGCTGCAGGTGGCAGAGCGAGCACTGTACTATTGGAACAACGAATATATCATGAGCCTGATCAGCGATAATGCAGCCAAAATCCTCCCCATCATGTTTCCAGCACTCTACAAGAACTCCAAGAGTCACTGGAACAAGTAGGTCTTCCCCCATGCTCTCACACTTGCTGGGTTGTTTGACCTACTGGCAATCTTGGGGCATGCTGCTGCAGTGCAACAATGCATGGTGGCACCAGCTGCTGAGACAGGGGTTTGATGGTGGTATCAGTGTGTATCATGGGAAAAGGAGGTTTCCTGAACCCTCAGTTTTCTATCAGCACCCCAGGAAAACCAAGACTCTTGTGCCCAGTCTGTCAGTGTCCTATTAGGGGGACCCTTCTTTGAACAGTCCTGCTGGGTCAGTTCAACTGACTTATTCAGGGAAGCATGCCAATGGCATAAGAGAAATCACTCAGCAGGTCTTCTCTTTTATTTGATAATGTTCCCTGTTAATGGTGGCTGCCAGTGCCTGGGAAGGACTTAGCCTGACACTTCATGGAATAACATTCCTTATTAACAGAAAATTGTGGCAGGTTAAGGTTTGAGGACTGCCAGCAAAAGTATCTGACTGCAAAAACATATTCAAAGCAATTCAGAGAAGCTCTAATTCCCAGTAAAAGTATCCAGTGTGCAGAATACGTTTCTTACCCACAGGGGAAAAAGATGGGTTCAGCCTGTTGACTGATCCCAGTAGTTACAATGGAGTCTTCCCTAACTTACTCCTATTCTCAGTGTACTTTTATACTATTTTTTGTGTTTAGGTGGAGCTTGAAGGCCTGTTAATCATACATGCCTTTGTTACTGATTGGTGTAAAATTCTCTGGCTTTGCTCAGGGCTGTAGTCAGTAAAGCACAAGCGTGTGCCCCTGAGGGATAGTCACACTCTGGGGTGGTGACTTTGGGAAGGGGATGTGTGTTAATACAACTGTATTATAATGAACTGAGCTCATCTGAGGAGGGTGATTTCAGCACAAAAATGTGACTCAGCCACAGACACCTCCTATCTCCCGTGGCTGACAGGCCCTGTGCAGTTTATCAGCTGCAAAGCACCATCGAGATCCCCTCCCTGCCAGGACTTCAGCTTGGCCATGGTGTTTCCACTCCACCCTCCTTTCCATCCCGCTCAGGATGCTGTGGCTGCAGGTTGTGTCCATGGGGAATCCTGGAGCAGGCTTTGAGCACACCAACAGCGTTCCATCCAGGGAGTAGCAGCTGTATTTTACCCTGTAATTCCTGTACTGTTACAGCTTCTGTTAGGATATGACTGTAACTTCTCAGTGTCCTCTAATTTTGCCCCCAGCTATCTTTCCACAGCATGGCAAAGGGCCACAGCAGACCAGAGTGGCTTGCTTCTTCAGGGATTGAGGCACCTGCATTTACCAGCCTTGGGGCCATTGAGTCTGCATAGAGTTTGATACCTGCCTGTCACTAATGTTGTCAGTCTCTCAGAAATGTGCAGTAGATTTTCCATCTGAATTCTGCCTGCTCATTAACTAATGTCCCACCCTTATGTTCTCTGTGACCAGAGAACTTGGCTAATACAGTGCCTGACTCCTTGAATACAGGAAAAGCAGAGAAAGCAGAACTAACTGGGCAGCTGTCCATGTCAAATATTGTCCCCTGTGTCTGATTCCTAGATATTACTCTGTTTTATAGTTCTCTTATCAACTTCCTTACTTCTGATTTCTTAATTTAATTCTTTACCTAGTTAAGTCGAGTTTAATTAATTTGATTTAACACACTTCCTGTAATGAATTAGCTAAAAATTAATTCTAGGGAGGCTGGACAAGTCCAGAGCTCAGAAAAAGACTTTATGTTCCTGTCTGAAACCCTTCACCAGTTCTGCAGCAGCCAAGATTCATGATTCTGCTGTTCCTGTCTTTTCTGGTCAGCTTCCCAGTGGTATTGCAGAAGAAGTTCTGAAAGTGTTTTCCTCTTATTTCTCCTTGTCTTTGTTTGAACAGCAGCCACATCTTCTCAGGGCAGGTTGAGTACATCAGGTTCTCCTCTGTAGTTCACCTACTTGGTCAGATAGCCTGTTTAAGTCCAGCAGGGCTGGATCTCTCTTCCATATTCCATTTGCAGAGCTGGTAGAGACACAGAGCTTAATCTGCTGAATCTCATCTTTTGCCTCTGGGTCAGGTATTTCAGAGACAGCTTGAACAATTGTTTTCATTCCCTAGGAGAGTCTTTGTCCCATAGGGAGTTCACATACAGTGCAACCTATCCACAAATCACTGGCACAGAGCTGAATTTTCTTCTGTGGTATTCTCTGTGCTAGTTCCCATCTCTTCAGGGCTGCTGCCTGTCTGTGTTTTGGGCAGCTCAGTGGAAAAGTTCATGACCAAATACTGGAAGCCCAAAAAAGTCCTTGTGTATATGTGGTGTGAACAGTAGGAGGCACTAAAGCCCCCTTGAAAACAGCTCTGAACAGGCTCCTAGCATCCTTCATTTCCCACTTCTAGCTGCAAGAAATGAACACGTGAGTGTGTATTTTTGCACTTAGGAATCTGACTGCAGCAGGCATGTCCCAGGGTCTTCTTTCTTCTCCATCTCTTTCTCCCTGTTGTATAGCTCCTGCTGTGTTTGTGGAAGGGATTTTGCCTTGGTAAGAGCTGGGATTGTGTGAGAATCTTTTGTCACATTACTGTAGAATGAGTTGCTGCTGCTGTTACCTCTTGTCTGTGCTGCTGGTGCCAGCTCAGGTGTAAGAACCTTTCCACCATGACTTGTTCTCCTTTCCTTGTTCCTTTGCAGGACAATTCATGGGCTGATCTACAATGCACTGAAACTCTTCATGGAGATGAACCAAAAGCTTTTTGATGACTGCACACAGCAATACAAGGCAGAGAAGCAGAAGTGAGTAACGTTTCTGCCAAGTAACTCGAGCTCATCCTAAAGTCTCCTTGGGGTACAGTAACAGATGGTAGATGCCAGGAGGCAGAGGGGAAATGAAAAGGTGGTAAGTAATTCTGTCAGAAAGTAGGATTCCTTAGCCATAGCTATGAGCAAGGATGAGGTGTGCCCTGATAGAAACCCTTTTAGTCCTGCTGAAGCAGGTAGCCTAGAAAAGAGTGACAGAGTTTGCTGAGTCATGAGCAAATAGATTGCCACGTAGAGAATACTCAGCTTTGTTCTGCCTTGGAAATACCAGTTCATAAATATTGTAGTGATGTCAGTAGAATCGTATTGCTTTAGAAAGGCTTTTTTGAAGAGTTTTGCTGCACTGGGCATAATGCATCTTTCATGCCACAGGATGCTTTCAATTTTCCAGTGATAAAGATGGAATAATTCCTACAGTGTCAAAGAGCGAATGGTGGGGATAAAAATCTGAGCTCAGCAAGTACCTGTGCCATGATGCTGTAAAGAGGAAAGAACTCCACTTTTTCTGCTGCCTTGTGCTGATTTTGATGCTTCTATGGCTTGCCTTGGTGAGCTGAGTCAGTCCAGTAAGCTAGAAGGAATTTTTTCTTTTATTTTTATTTTTTTTTATTTTAATTTTCTGCTGACTTAGTGACATAAAATAGTAAAATAGTGCTCCTCATTCCTGGATGAGCCAGGGCTGCTGGTGGGGAGAGCAGAGATAAATTTTCCTGAGAGTGTGGAGCTCTGGGGTACATTCTGTTGCTTTGTGAAATAGGAATAAATAACTCAAAAATAAGTAATAAGTTGATATATCTGACCTTCAGATGGGTAACCTGCTTATGAAGAAATTAAGGCTTTTTTTAGGATCTAAAATGGGAGCAAGCAAGTTTTCTTTTTTTCCCCATTCTAGGGCGTTTGTGAAGCCCACAAATATCTTCACATATATTTTAAGTCACAGTGACAGTACATTTCCTACAAGATCTACCTAGTGTTTCCATCAGTTTTCTCTCCCTGTTTAGCTGCTGACATGCTGAAGGTGACTGTTCCCAGCACTGGTGTGTGACTGATGGAGAATCGTTCTGAAAAAGCTGACAGAACAGCTCAGTGCTGTCAATAAAAGGATTGGTAGTGCTGCAGTTTTCTGCTCATGTGAAGATGATTTTTTTTTTTTTGTCTAGTGCCTCTGTGCATAATTAGGCTTCAGAAAACCTCATGCTGTGAACTAGAAAACAGCAGGTGTGGGAGGGATTGCATGTGCAAATGAACTCAGTAAAGGAAATGGGGAAAAGAAGAGAGGTTGTATGTTCACTGTTAGGCTGCAAGCAGATGTTGTCTGATTATGGCTTAGCTGCATTTTTAATTAGTTAATATGCCTATAAGTGACATGCCAGCTCAGGCCTGTCACTCTTGCACCCCTAGCTGTGCAGCCACAGCCAGGGTGGTCATGAGGGACAAACTCTTCAGGGACATTTGGCAAGGCTGTCTCTGCTGTTCAGTTCAAATGGGCTGACTGCACCTTTCTAATCTCCCCAGACACCTTGAAACTGTTTGGATTATCAGGATCCTGTAGAAAACCAGTGAGGAAGTTGGGGTAGATAGTGTCTTGTCCTGAATGGGTTATTTGTTTGGGGTGTTTTGGGGTTGGTTTGTTGGAGGTGTTTTTGTGACTCTGTGTTGTAACTGGGATGAAAATCATGTAGTTAATAGAAATAAAGCAGAGATTTTAGTGCAGATGTTTAAAATCTAGAAGAGAATAACAAGGGGTCGTGGATGCTCACCTCTGTTTGCAGTGAATATTCACTGTCCTGGGATTTATAAGTGGCTCTGCTGAATGGTCACTTCAAATGTGTGCCAAAATCTGTGCCAAGTTCAAGAGCTGTGCCTGGGCTGTTCGGACAGATCTCTGGTGTGTTTCGGTTAGATAGAGAAGGAACAATAGGCAGTGGAACCCCAGTTCTATTGGAAATTATAGTTTGTCCCTCTGCATCTGGGGGGCACCAGGAAAATGTGTCTTTGAAATCCAGACTGGTGTCATGGCATTACCCCAGAAACCAGACACTCTGCTCTACTCCTGGCAGCACAAAGCCAGGGCAAAAGTACCTGTGTGGCCCACTGTTGCCACCCTGGGCTCTGAGGTGAGTGAGGAGCATGCCTGCCTACCCTCTGCTAGTCATAGTGTGTGTCCCCTCTTCTTGCTTCATCTCACCTGTAGATTTAGTATTAGGTAGAATTAGGGGTCTCTGAATGACAGAGCAGCTCTTCCCCTTGTCTGCACTTCTCTGCTGTCTCTTGCTTTTATCAACCTGTGAATGAAAGCTGCACGTTCCCCAGGAGTTCACACTTGCTCTCACTCTTTCTCTGCAGGGGAAGGTTCAGGATGAAGGAACGAGAAGAAATGTGGCAGAAAATAGAGGAGCTGGCTCGGCTGAATCCCCAGGTGAGTGACAACAGGACCTAGGATAAATGAGGCAAGAATGTGTTGGGGGTCTTGATGCTGCTTCCTCAGCCCACGAGACCAGGTTTTAGCATCTGATCTCAGTCCTGTGGACACTGCTGCAGCAGTGGTCTGTCTCTCCCAAAAACAGTGTCCTGGGAATGCTGGCAGTGTTCTACCAGGCTGTCCCTCTCTAGCACTGACCCCTAAGGACTGCCTTATAGAGAGCATGTGTGTGTTTATGTACCACACACACATGCAGCGTGCTGTGAGTCAGAGGGCACAGGGGAGGAGAGGATACTCTTCCCTGCCTGTGTCCCTAGCGCTGCCTTTCCAGGGGTCAGAGAAGGCAGCTGGAGGAACTATGCCGTGCTGTGTTAGCATGCTGGGGGAGAAGGTGTGGTTTTGGATGGAGTGCTGACTCTCCAGCTGTCTGTGTTGTCTGCAGTACCCCATGTATTATGCACCTCTACCCTTGCCTTCTGTGTGCTGTATGGAAACGGAGACCCCAACTGCAGAGGATATACAGCTGCTGAAGAAAACGGTGGAGACGGAGGCTGTGCAGGTGCGTAGGCGACTCGAGTACTTTCACAGTTGCTCCCAGTCCAGCCAGGACATCAGCATAGCCAGAACTGGCTCTTTCCAAATGTTCTCAAGGTAAATTCCACTACTCTCACCCCTCATCATTAAGAGATCAACCTGTAGTCTGAAGAGTGGAGTTTATCTAACCTTCTGACTCTGGAAAAAGTGCCAGTGGGACTTTCTTGTGACCTTTTGGTCTGTGGCTCTCAGCCTGTTGTGAAGCATGCTGCAGTGCTAGCCAGCACATCCTAGAGCTGGGGTCAGAGGCTGAAGGCATGAATGTGTTTGCTACTGATTGCTGACTCCCTTGATTTGTTTGTAGATGCTGAAAGACATTAAGAAGGACAAAGTTTTGCTGCGCCGGAAGTCTGAGCTTCCACAGGACGTCTACACTATAAAAGCCTTGGAGGCCCACAAGAGAGCAGAAGAGTTTCTCACCTCAAGCCAGGAGGCTCTCTGACGGGCTCAGGAGCTGGCCCAGGAAGCTCTGCCCCATCCCTTTCCTCCAGGGGTCATGGAAATGCACTCGGTTCTCATGTATAAGTAAGGAATGAACATGGTGAGCTGTGCCTGTCCTCCACTCCATCTGCATACCTCCAGGGTAGATCTGGTTTTATGTTATAACCTGTATCTCACCACTGTCCTGTCCTCCTGCTTTTTCTCCATCCTCCTGCTTTTCCACCTTGGCTGTGCAGGCATGAAGGGAGCCTGCCTGACATCTGCTTGTATCAGTCCAGGCAGGACTCACTTCACTGTGAGCTGTCACCTGATTCTTACTCTGCCAGGAAGCCAGAGCCTTGCTCGGGCTCTGTGTTGGGCAGAGCCTGCCATGCATGGCTCAGTGTGCTACTCCAAACTCCAAGTGCCCATCTCCGCCACACCTGCCCCCATGCTGCCTGTGCAGCTGCACCCTGCCAGAGGCCAGACTGAGCTTGGGGCAGAAGCAGAGCTTGTGAGGCTCTGCTGCCTCTCCAGCCTGCCTTGGGGTGCAGCTCCACAGCTGAAGGGTCTTAATGTACAGCGGAGGAAATGTTTACTTCCACCTTTCTTTTGCTACAAGCCCCGTGTTCTGTTCCCCTGTCAGTGGAGTGGGGGTTCAGTGCTTTGCCACCCCCAGTTAAGCTGGGTGCAAGCACTACATACTATTGCAGTCCTCCCTTTAGAGCATCCTTAGAAGCTCTCTTGTGAGAAAGTGAATTCCTTCTGCTGTTTGTGTTGGTCCGTGCTGACTCATCTCCTTCCCGATGTCTCGGGTTAATTGTGGGCCCAGAACTAACTTCCCGCTTTGTAGCAGGTATCAGCCACTGACTTCTACTTTCTTCCTCTACCTGCTCAATTAAAATACTCCTGCAGCTCTCCCTAGGAAGCTTGTGCTGCTAGTCATTTCCGCAAGCTAGTGGAAGCAATGGATACACCTCATGGGGTGTGGCTGAGTTTGAGTGTTCAGTTGTCGCCTCATTATCAATGGCTAAGCACTACTGCTGAATCGCTTCGGTGGGTGCTCTGAGCAAAATTCACCTGTCCTGTTATGTTGGCATCTGCTGTGGCTGGAGGCCCTTGTTAGTTATCATATGGTGCATCAGGGACTCCTGCTAACTTAAGCATTTAGAAACACTTGCTGATAGCCCAGGGGCTTGCGCAGCACTTGGGTGCTACTGTGATCCAGCTTTCACCCCTGTTTGTGGTGCAGATTTAGTGCCAGGCTAAGGTGCCACCTCAGAGGCTGGTTTGTCATAGAGAGGGAGTCTCTGTTTCTTACCTGCTGCACCTGCTTTCTTGGCACGTAAGCTTAAGTGGGTTTGCAGTAGTGCAGGGAGCCTGTGGGGTTGGTGCTAGCCTGATACTGCTTTGCAACGGCACGGGATGTTGTAGAAGGTTCTGGTGTATCTGCTTGTCCTCACCAGTAAACCATTCCCAAGTCAGGGGATCACCCCCTCTAATCTTACTGCTGGTGTGCAGCACATCTTTACTCCAATCCCAGCGAGGCTGTTTTGACCTGTGTATCCTGCATCCCTGCCCCGTGTAGCTCTCTCCGGGCTCAGCCCTCACCAGGAATGCCACCATCTCTTGGGAGGAGCTGGCAGGTGCATGTGTGAGATCCCCCCCAGTCACGCAGGACCCCACCTCCCTTCCGCCTCACGCAACGGGCCAGTTCGTCAGGAGACTTCAGAAACACCTCAGGGAGGTTATTGCTTATTTTGAACATTAGTCTGAGCTCATGATCAGCTGCCAATCAATTACCTCACGTCTGGCACAGCATGTGGACGTGCACCGGGTGGTGCTGATGGTGCCGGAGCAGCACAGCGGAAATGAGGGCTGCCAGGCTCGGGCTGGGCAGGAGGCTCCTTCCTGTTTCAGCACAGGCTCTCCAACTGGCTGCTTAGCATTGCGCTGTAAGCCAAGACCTCATTTTTAGATTGCTACAGCATGGTGTGCCCTCACTTGAGCCTGCTTGCTGCTGGGCAGTGGCTGCCTTTCCCCGCTGTGGGCTGCTCTGCCTGCAGAGGGAACAGAATCTTGTGGTGTGCAGACTGGCACTGTCCTGTAGATGATCTGTCTCTGCTGGCAGTCCCCGACCCTGGCCAGAGGAATGCTGCTGGGGTTGTGCCACGTGCAGGGGCAGGATTGTAACACATCATGATTACGTGCTGTACAGCTTTGATGTTCCCATAGCTTTTTGTGTCTTGTTTTGGGTCAGGGACCTTAGGCTTAGTACCTTCACATCATCCTTCGTTTGCTGCCTATTCATTCCAGTGTCCTGGACACCTCAGAAGGGGACCATGTGAGACGGGGGGGAGTGTGCTCACCCTCTCACCACATGTACTGCTCATAGGCAGACCTGCATCTGCCACGCTACAGCTGCCCCCTCGCTCAATACTTGGTTTCTAGCATTAGTGCTGCTCATTTCTGCCTACGCCTTTCCCCACATCAGCCAAATGGACAGAACTGGAGCTGCCTCTTCCTCTTCACCTGGCTTGCTCCTCCCTAGGGAAAAAGCAAAACTACTGCATTCACACCCTGGACACAAGTATTAAGCTGCTTACAGTTCATATGTACATATGGTGTACTTTATTTTCAGTAGAGCATTACATAGTATGAAAGTGTTGGATTTTGTACAGATGTCCCTGTATGTACAGAACTAAATAAAACCAATCTCTTGGAATGACACATCTTGCTCCACCTGTGATATTCCAACACACAGACCCTATCCTGAGAGGAGGAGCCCTAGCCTGGAGTGACTTCTCTGGTACTGTCAGCATGGGGCCAAGTCCAGTGTTTGTCCTGAGGGAATCTGAGCAAAGCTGGCCAAACCCCCATCGCCCCATATGCATCCAAGCATGGAAACCAATCTGCCTCCTCAGAGGTAAAAGAAGCCAACACAAGATCATCACATTCACTTATGCAGCAGCCAGAACCAAGAAAAAGGAGTGGGAAGGAAAATCAGACAATGTCAGTGGGACAAATTGGAAAATTGATACTGGCAAGTCCTGTCAGCACCTGACTCAGAGGCAGTGGGTGCTTCCAGGGTGGAGGGAAGGGCTGGGGTTTGCAGCCCTTGTGCCGCAGCTCAGCCTCAATTCCACTGAGGCCGGGGGCCACCGAGGCTCTGCCGGGCCTGCAGCGTGCGCTGCACCACGTCCTTCCACTGTTCCTCTGAGATCTGGCTGGCCCAGGCCGGGATGCCCAGGGTGGGCAGCTTCACGCTGGCCATCGTCCTCTTTACCAGCTCCACATGCTCTGGGAACAGAGAGGCCGTGAGACCGCGGCGGAGCCCCGGGAGGCTCCTGCCGGAGAGGCGGTTACCTGCATCCATGGGGATGGAGCTGTGGCTGCTCTGAGCCGTGGCGCCTTCCGCTGCCTCCTCATTCTCCTCCTCGCTGTCCACCGGCGGGTCGGGCAGGTGCAGCCTCAGCATCTGCGGAGAAAGGCGGGCAGCGGGGGTCGGGACCGCGGGTGCCCCCGACCCCGGCCCGTCGGNCTCTCGGCCGGGCCCGCGGGTGGCGGGTGGGGGCGCGGGGAGGCACAGAGGGGCTCGGGCGGGGAGGGGCGGCCAACGGTGCTGGAGCGTGTCCAGAGCCGGGCAAAGGAGCTGCTGAAGGGTCCAGAGAATAAGTCCTGTGAGGAGCGGCTGAGAGAGCTGGGGGTGTTCAGCCTGAAGAAAAGGAAGCTCAGGGGAGACCTCGCTCTCTACAACCGCCTGAAAGGAGATTGTTGCCAGGTAGGGGCCGGCCTCTTCTCCTAGGTAACAACTGACGGACAGGTCAGGAGGAAATGGCTTCAAGCTGCACCAGGGAAGGCTTAGGTTGGATATTAGGAAAAAATTCTTCACGAAAGGGTAGTCTGGCATTGGAACAAGCTGTCCAGGAAAATGGTCGAATCGCCATCCCTGAAAGTGTTAAAAAAAACCTGTAAATGTGGAACTTTCAGGACATGACTTATTGGTGAGACTGGCAGTGTGGGTTAATGGCTGGACTCAGTGATCTTGGTGATCTTCTCCATCCTTAAAGAATTCTGTGACCCCATACATCCCTGTCCTCCCCTGACAGGTTTGTGTCAGGGAGGCTGCCCTTCTGCCCTGGTGCCTTCTCTCTCCATCCCATGGGCTCATGTGGTTTCAAGCCATTTTTTCTCTCACCCAGTCATGGCTGTTTTGGGACTGCATGCCTGGTCTTCCCCAGTCCCATGTGCCAGGCAGAGGGAAGGCTGGCACCTGTGAGCCTGCCTTGTGTGTGGCCAAGCCCAGCAGACCACTCTGCCTGGGGATCGGTGTCAGTGCAACAGAGGGGCAGAGGAACCAACTGATGTAGCCCTGTGTAAAGCAAGAAATGCCCCACTGGCTGTCAGCTTGGCTTTCCTGAGCCTGCTTTCCAACCCAAGGGCTGCCCTTGGCATGGCAGAAACAGCTTGACAGGCTGAGACGAATTCCTGATGGGGAAGTGGGGGTCAAGCAGTATCTCCAAACCTTAGGCACACTCCACAGAAAAGCTGGAGTTTGGGAAGCAAGGTGAAGAATAGAAGCCAGCTCAGTAGGTGCAGAATCTCAGCTTTAGGCAAAGTCAGCAGTGGGCAAAATATTTGGAAAATAAGGAGATGGTGAGGCTGGCTGTAGAGGTGGGGAGGGCACTGGGATAAATTTGTGCCTGAGCAGTGTGGTCTGTTTATTCTCATGGCTAACATGAGCTTCCAGAGTAGGCTCAGCTCACGAGCTCAAGGGCTGTTCTAGCACCGTCTAGTTCACCAGGGCTGGAATTGCATTGTGAGTGTCCAAGCTGTTGAATGTGCAAGCTTGCAGTTTCACGCTGCCTTAGCACAAATGCTCCAAGCATTAGATAAATGTCAAGCACAAGTGAAGAAAGCGGGTTGTTCTCATGTTATCTCTAACAGTATGTTGGATGTGCTTTAAATAGAACTGTCTATATGGACTGCTGTGAACTGGTTGGGTTATTTTAAGGGTTACTAAACCTTGTGGCTGGTGTCTTTTGGGAGACGGGACTGAGGCAGCCACACGGTAGGATTTGCTCTCTGGAGCAGCTTTGCAGGGTAGGCTGCGCTTCTTGGGGTGCTGCTGTAATTCTGGGGATGACAGAACGAGTCCTTGAAAATCCAGGTCACTTGCTGCTATGTTTCTCCCCCTTGCTTTGGGAATTGGATGCAGCAAGGCTAATCTGAGCAGCTTTTAGAAATGGCACTAGGTTTCCTTCTGTGTGCATAGAGGAGTGAGGGAGCCCAGTGGGCTCCCTTTGAGCAAAGAAGTGGATCCAAGGATAGACGAGTTTGTTTTAAGATTATCACCTGGCTACTGTACTTGGAGATGCTCAGTAGCTTTCTATCTTGAATATAGAATTGAATTGAATATCTTCAATACTTCTTGAATGAAGTATTTTCATAACTAAATGTAGAGACTGAAAATAGTAAGCCCAAAGCCAACAGAACCAACGGTGAAAACTCTGACTAAAACCTATTACTGGTTTTCTGTTGTTGTTTTGGGGATCTTTTCCTATCTGTGCCACAGTGCTCAAGTCACCACAACAGTTTTGGAAGATATGCTAGTGAGAGATTGAGTGATATTTTGGTTGATCTCAGAAGTCCACATGCTGTGTTGTTAGGCTCTTGTTAGGTGTAAACTGGAGCAGTTGGGATGAAGGTTGTTCAAGGCATTAAGTGTACCTTCAGGCAATAGCACAACCAGAGATATAAGAGTACTGTCTGTAGGTGCTGTCTTCAAAGGATGCAGAGCTGAATTAAATCTGATTGTTCCCTGGTTTAGCAGTGAAATGCTCCAGGTGCTTTGTGGCAGAGGAGCAACTCACTGCTGTGCTCACTTAATTTCCAGCATCATCAGGTACTTCACCAGTAAGTGAAGCATATCCTGATTTTTAGAAATGTACTTATTCCTGGCATTCCTGGTTAATGACAAGACCTACCAAGGTTTCAAACTTTCTCTGCATCCTCTGTGCTTTCCTCTATTTCTGTATAGATCATGGCAGAGTTAGGAAATGGGGAGTTGTGAACATTGCATGGTTGGAAGCAAGAGATCTGTTAGTTTTTGGAGAGTGGAAGTGAGGAGCTAACATGAGTCAGTGGAAGCAAGCGGTGGCTTGAACTGATGTCCTAAATGAGAAACCACAGAATGTATTTTGCATAATCTAATGTTGTACAGTTGGGGGAAATTGTTAGTAAATTGTTTATCAATTTTGCTGTTTCTCTCTCTCTCCTTGGCTGTGTCCTCTGTGATCTTTAAAGAAATCTAAGTTGTAGCTTAATGTCAAGTGCACTTCTCCTACTAAGAAATCCTTATAGGAATGAGATTGAGAAGTTTTTACTTATGTCCTCATTTATATCATATAAATTATCTTTGGAAATCAAACTTTAAATGGAATTTAACAGTGTCCATTGTTGTAGGACAGAAAATAAAGTTTTTTCTCAAAATATGTGTCTTAACTCCTATTTGTAGATAGTGCACAGAGGGGGCTTGGAGAAGGAAAATGCTTTGGGACAGAAGATTGGTCTAAGGAAACAATTGTAAATAAGGCAGGAGTGGAGAATCTGGAGCTGGGCACAGAAAGCATGGGGTAGAGTGCAGAAGGCATCTTCAGGAGCCAGGGCTGTGCACGGAGGAGGGGAGGCCAGGCCTGTGTGTGGCTGAAAATGGGCAAACAGATGCCTGGTGATGGCAGGAAGATGTGGTAGTTACAGGGTAGGGATGTGGCCAGTGGCAGAAGAGGAACATGGGAGTTTGCATGGATGCTTTTATTACAGTGTAGAGAAGAGCACTTGGGTTTGGAAAAGCCTTGACAGCTTGTTAAACCCTGTGTTTTCCCATGGCCTTGTAAAGATTACTTCACACTTCTGGTCATTCTCTCTTCACTTCATGAAGTGCTCATGTGAGTGTTTGTTTTTCTTGGCTCTGAGGAGGGGCAGAGGAGGCTGTGCTGGCAGAGCTCTGTGTTTGCTCTAAAGGGGTATCCCTGGACAGAGCCAAGGTTAAGTACAGCCAGCTTCCATCCCATTGCCCTCACCACTACTCCAGACCCACCAGTCACCTGGAAAGCAATCATTTGGGGAAAAACTTACCCAGTAATTGTAGGAAGCAGCATTTCAGCATTGTTGCTTCCACCTCAGCATCTTTCTTGCAGTGCCAGGGATTGGGCCTGGAGCTGCTGTTTCTCAGTGGACCAGATTAACCTCTTGGGATGAGCTGCCTTCTGACTGGAATAGCAGAGCTGCTGTGGCAGGGTAGCCAGCTCCTGTGGCAGTGACAGGACCAGCATCCTTGCACCTGGCTCAAGAGAAGTCCCAAGGATGAGGAAGAGTTTTCTGACAAAAAAGGCAGGGGCCTTGTTACAATGCCTGCCTGTCATGCCAAGCAGCTGTGCTCCCTTACCTTAGTGGGAACCAAGCAGAGGGCTTGGAAGTATGATTCATCTTCTTGGTCCTCCTGGATTGGGCTCAGTCTGAAAGGTGTTGAAAATACTGATGCTGGTGATGAAGACCAGTTAAGCTCCTTAAGGAGTCTTTTACAGAATCACTTAAACAAGAAGAGATTATGAGGAAAACATTGGTTAGATTTTTCAGGAATAACTTGTGACTGAGGCAGGAAACAGATTTAGATATGTGAAGCCTTCAAAATAGCTTGGAGGGTGACTTTGGTGGGTTCCATGGAAACTCATCTGTTATGTAGCTTTGCAGAGGACTTATACAAGCGTGCTGCCTGGCTTAAAAAAAGAGAAATAAAGTTGCTTAAGGAAAAAAATCAAACCTGCTAGATCTGAAGTTGAAGCATGGCATGTAGAAAATGGGGGCTGTTCCTGGGCCCTTCTGGAGCACCCCTGCTGGAGCAAAACTTGCTGTGACTTTCTGGGTTACTGACTGCAGTTTAGGTGAGGGTGATTGCTGCAGGAACAGGCAGGTTTGTAGGAGAGACTCCTGTTATAATAAAGCTGCAGGATGGTCTCTGTTTGGGCTTTGTACGTATCCTGCTACTGTAATAGTACATGCACAGAGCATGAAAACAATTCAAAAAAGAAATAGCTTTAAAAAGAAGCTACTGAAATTTTGATGACATTTGGGAGTTCTGGAATGAGGTGAGTGATTACTGAATAGTTTTGAACTGTCTGTGGAGTCAGTAGATGAAGCTGGAAGCCTGAGCTCTGCTTCATGCCAGGAGCTCCCTGTTGATGGCATCTCTTATTCTTCCCACAGGAGGGGATAAAATGTGAGTGTGTGGGTGGGTGGGCGCTGGGGTGGTCAGGTTACTGATGGGCCTCCTTGTGAGCAGTGATTCCACTTGACTGAGGGGTTGGTGCTGGCTAACTGGAGCAGAGCAGCATGGCACTGCCCCTCTTGCTGCCCTCCAGCTACTTCAGAAACCTGAAACAGGAGGGAAGTCCTCCTTGCCAAAACTCACTACTTTCCAAAATTAAATGGGGCAGATTGTAGGAATTTTATGCATTGGAATTTAGTCCTTGTTCAAAGGCATTCCCAAATTTCTTTGGATTCTGAAAAGGCTAAAATTGGTTGTGGGATAGGAGCATGCTGACTGAATCTTTCAGTAATGTAGAACCAAGAAATAAAAGAAGACAACTTTATTTTGCTGTCTGAAACACTGACATCTCTTCTAAAGGCTGTTTTTCAGCTGTTAAAATCAAAGTGACCCGCTGTTTCAGAAGCACCTGGGCATGACTCTGCTCTAGATTCTTAGACTGAATAATATCTGTAAGAATCATCTGTGGTGACTTCTCTAAGATATGATCTAAGCCATCTGTTTGAGGAATGAAAGCTATCGGTTGCTTAACAAGATATGATGCTACAGAATTTTCAGAGTTATGCCTGGATTTGCTGTGGGAGCAGAAGCCTTTTTTGAGTATTAGCAAAGAGCTTTCTACCTAGATTAGGGGTTTTCTGCTCTCTCGTGTCTAATTAGATTGAACCTTAGTGCTCAAATCAATGAGTCCAAATGCTAATGTGTTCTTTTCACCTTCACCGTTGTCTCTTGCTGTGCGTTTTCATTCATGCAGACAAATGGCTGTGACATGTACATGATGTGTGCATGACCAGGCCGAAGGTGTTTGGCTGGGGCTGCCTGTGCGGCCACCCTGAGGGGTTTTGTATGCAAGGGCATCTCTGTTTGCTCCTCTCAGCCCTGCTCTGTGTCCCCTTCCCAAGAGGAGTATTTCCAATTGGGAGGCAGGTGAGTGAGGATACATTAAGGTAATCTTTGTAGCAGGCATTCAAGGAAGGTAGGAAGACCTGCAGGATGGATCTCATTATTTTGTCATTATGTCTGTGTTGCAGAGCCAGGTGACATTGTGGTGGCCTTGGAAGCATGTAGCTGTGGCACTGGGGGCCCTGAAGACCGCCTGGCTTGCAGGGAGGAATGCTACGGTGGGCAGTGCACTTGGAAGGTGGGCCACGGAGGGTGAACCACGCGGCCGTGGCTGTCGGGCACAAGGTCTATTCCTTTGGTGGGTACTGCTCCGGAGAGGACTATGAGACCCTGCGGCAGATCGATGTCCACGTTTTCAATGCAGGTAAATGTGTCCTTGTGGGGCACAAAGGACTTGGCTTGCTGGACTCAGTTGTTGCCTTTCTTGCCTGCTGCTGCCTGACATGTTATACCCTGTAACGTGCTGTCTGATTCTTAATTTCCAGAAAAAGTTATCAGAGTAGGTAGGAGCCTTTCTTTGTGCAGCCTTGCATTTTCAGCATCAGGGGCAGGACACAGAGGGGCTGTAGTTCATCTGACTGCTAGGATAAGCACTCACTGAAGTAGTCACATAGCCAATGGCTTGGTTTGTCCTTGTTCTCTGCGAACACAGACTCAGACAGGTGCAAAGAGGTGATATCGAGTTGGCTCAGGTCTCCCCTCCAGTTTGCAGTATGCTCAGCTGCCCATAGTATAGGAGAAGGGTACAAGCCAGTGCACTCAGTTAAGATTCCAGGTGTAGATATCTGAGCTGTTTCCCTATGGGGGCAGCTGATAACTGATGCCAGCATCATGGAGTCAGCAGGGGCATGTGGCTAGGAGGGAGGCATTTCCATTTTGGTAACGGCTATCATGCAGATTCACAACATAGCTTAGAAAAGCATCTGCAACTAGAGCCATTTGTGTAGGGTAGCCAGTACCTGTCATGAGGCTGAGTTGGAGCCATGCTGTGCTGGCAGAGGCTGTATTTCTTGATTGAGTGCTCCTTGAACTGAAGAGGTTACTGAGCTGGTCCATGAAGTATTTCCCTGTAATTAAGCAGGTGATTAAAAACTGCACGGGACGCTTGGGTGGCTCCAGTTAACAGAGCCAAGAATGGCGAATCAGTGACCAGTTTTGGACAGTGTGCTGAATGCTTTTCTGACACCCACATGTAGACAGACCTAGTTTGTCTGTAAGATGCAATGAATTCACTCCTTTAGGATTGATGTGCAGCAGGGATGAAAGCATTGGTTACAGGGGGCTGCCAAGGTGACCTGCTCACAGTGTAGAGAGGGTATAGCTCAGGATCCTGTGAACAGTGACATTCACCTCTGTCCAGAGGGACTGGGCTTTCACACTCAACACTGCTGAATGCTGTAGAACGTGCCAAGTAGAGCACCACTCTTCTGGGGAAGCATAATGACTGTGCCCAATGGAATGCTCTTGTGTTGTCTTTCCTTCTTACCACTCCCAAATACTAAAGTGTCAGAATGCTGCAGCCACCACGTGGGAAGTGACAGTGGCTTCCCAAGCCCTTGCTCAGCTAGCATTGTCAGGTGGCAGTGCTAAAGCCAAGATACCAGATTTTGAATTATCTCTTGTCAGTCTTCCAAAGATGAAGACTGTGTTTTAGGTAGGAAGCATCCAGTCTAGCTTGACTTCAGCATTGGATGTGCTTCCTCAATACCCTTTCTGCCTGTGGGGTAGATACCTTTTGAGATGCCTGACTTTTCCCTCTCCCTATGTTAGTATTTCAGAGGAACTGCAGACTGTTTTCTGCTATATTTTGTATCAGCTCCACGTAGAAAACAAACCTGGAGGCTGTATGTAGCAGAGGGAGGGTGACTGGTCCTGTTACGTAATGGCTGTGTAACACTTGCTGTGGCTCTTGCACTGTCATTAAACCCTGTAATACCTGTTGACTGTTCTGGCTGCTGCTGGACATGACACACAGGAAGGAGAACCTGTAATCACAAGGAACTCCTATTCAAAATGCAAGGTTAGCAGGGAAAACTTGAGTATAGATGTGTAAAGGAGACAGACGGCCACCTCATCTATAGCTTGAAAAACCAAAACAAAAGCAAACAAACCCTGTTCCTACAAGTCTGCTGGGTTGCTTTACTTTAACTGTGCTTCTGCAAGTCCAAGTGATGCCTTCAGGTGTTCCCTTGCATAATACTGCAGTGAGTTATTTCTGTGCTGCCCATTCTTCCAGCTTTGAGTATCTTCAGCAATCTCCCTAGCTTGAAGTCATGTCCGCATTCATGGTCACCTCTGTACTTTTTCATTTTTCTTTCCCTATTTGTTTGTATGTGTGCCATATCTTCACTCACGGTCTAGGATGAGCCAGAGTGGAAACCTTTTCAGTGAACTGTTGCAGAACAGAGCCTGTTTATGTCCTCTGGGCCTCCAGAGGACTTCCTTCTGTATTTCTTAACTGTCTACTAGTCAGGGTCAGACACAGGTTTCTCTTGTTTACTCGATTGCTTCTGCACCTTGTCACGGGGTAAAAAGCACCATACTGGATGGGTTATGAACTGTGAGCAATTTAGCAGGCTTAGCATTTGACATGGGCTCAAACTTGTGTTTCCAGTGTCTCTGCGCTGGATCAAGTTGCCTCCAGTGTGGACAAACAGCCGAGACCACGTGAGGGAGGTGCCCTACATGAGGTATGGACACTCAGCAGTGCTCATCGACGACACCGTCTACATTTGGGGTGGTCGCAACGACACGGAGGGAGCCTGCAATGTGCTCTATGCTTTCGATGTCAGTAAGTTCCAGCTTCTCACTCTTCCTTGTCACAGCTTGATCAGACCTTCTCTCTACCCCTCACTCTGCTCCCCAACTTGTTTTCTTGTCCCTCAGTGACAGTCTGGAGGAAATGGTGTCACTGGCTGTTTCAGCAGTTTTAGAAGTGGAATATGGTGGCCACAGTGCTTAAATCTCTGTAAAAGCCTTTGGGCAGAGATTGCTGATCTTGTCTAATAATGAAAATGGTTTTAATTTTTCTCTCAGCCTTGCATGCTCTCTCGGAGAGTAACTACAGCTGAAGCATTCTCTCTGTGTTACGTAGTATTTCTTAATTGTGGCTGAAGGTTGAAGCAAGAAGGGTCTGGGCTCTTGAGGATTGTGGCTCTTCTCCAGTGTGGTCCTTCTTTCTGAAGGCATGAAGGAGGGTGAGGAATAAAGCACAGGAGTAGTCTGGGACAGGATGCTAAAATCAGGGAAGACATGAATCAAGTTAGATAAACCTGAAAAAATAAACTCCTTGAGCCTTTTGGTTGGCTTCTCCATAGCACTGCTGGAGCACCTCTGGAGAAAAGGCACCATCAGGAACTGCATGGACACAAGTGTCAGGAAAGAAAAGGAGTATATCTGGATTCTGGAGGCAAGTCCATCTAAATACTGGCCAGAAACTGTCTTGCTGGACTTGCAAGGAAACTGCTTGCTCTGGTGCTTGGTCAAGGGGGTCTGTTCTTTACCAGGAAATATCTTGCAGCTTGTGGCACAGGGTTTCCCCCTTCCTTCCCCTGGCACATGCAGCTGAAAAGCCACCAGTAAACCTCTGCCTATACACAGGCTGTGTAGTGGGAGCTGCCTAGTCTCGCTGGCAGCTCCAGTGCTTTAGCATTAAGTGAAAATTGACAGCAAGTCCTGCTCCAAACGCTCTGCAGCTGTCTGTACACACAGGCCTGCCATTCCTGGAAAGTAAGGCTGGCAGTCACAGTCCCACGTCTGTAGTGTAAGTTCCACTATAGGAGTCACATCAGGCTAAGTAAAGCCCTGTCTGAGTGCAGTTTTGTCCATGTGGAATGGAGCACATCACAAATTGAGGTCTTTTTCATCTCTAATTTAACATGTTGCTCTTGGGTGAGATGTTGCTGATGAGGTGTGACTGAGTTTGGAAGCAGCCCCAGGAAGAAAAGGAACTTGATAGCCCTGAGCTGTCCCACTGGAGGCTCCCCAGAGATTCTGCTGACCTTGCAAGACCCTTTGTGTGGTGCCAGATGGAGCATAGGTGGACAGTTGTGTCTGCAGCCAAGTTCAGAGAAGCCATCCTCATGCTTTGGCTCCAGTGCTACGACTCTGAAATAAGCACTGTTTTTGACAGCCAAGAGCTGTTAGGGAGGGTGGGGGAATGTCTCCTGCAGCCTTGAGGGCTTATCTGTGCCTCTCTGAGCTCTCGGGGCAGGTGCCTGTTTGCGCTTGGCAGTGAGTTGCTGGCTTGGCTCTGTGTTGCCCTGGCATGGAGAACAGCTCTGGCTGGATTTTAAGTCATCTTCTAAATCAAGCCAGCCCCTGGAGAGTGCAGGCTAAGGGGCTGAATCTGTCTGGTGCAGGCTCACAGGGAGCATTGTGAAGGGTGGAAAGTGAGGAAGAGGGGATGAGAATGTAACAAGTGGAGCAGATAAGATGGGGAGAGCTGCACTGCAGAGTTGGGTATATGCAAAACAGCTAGCATGGAGAGCTTGTGATTAAGTGATTTTTATCTGGGTTTGAGAGCTGTTTCTCCTCAGTCAATGAGCTCAGTTATTGGGCATCTCCATGCCATGAGGAGGTCAGTCGAGCCACTTAGCATTATTGCTTCATTGTAATAGTGCAAATGCAGCGTTGATAAGAAACTCCTAAGTACACTTTGCAAGAGATTTGGTAAAAGTAACATTGTTTAAGCCGTGCTGTACTACTCACACTTAAAAATCTTTGCAGGTCTGGCAGTTGGTTGCCATGCCCAGAGGCTGAGACTTTTGTCACTGTGTCCCTCTACGGGGGCTCTGGCAGGTAGCCTTGTCCAAGTAAGCTTGCAGCCTCTCTGGCAGAGCAGGTGCTGTGTGAGAAAGCAGGAATGATTTTTGCCTTAGAAATTAAGAACAATAGTAATAGAACTATCCCACCCCAACTCCTACTGTGTTTTCTCAGCATTGCCTCTTGTTTTGTTTCAGACACGCACAAGTGGTTCACACCAAAGGTGTCTGGAATGGTCCCAGGGGCAAGAGATGGACACTCAGCTTGTGTCCTGGCAAAGAGCATGTTTATCTTTGGAGGCTATGAACAGCTGGTGAGTAGTCTCTGTAACTGTTAATTGGTGAGCCCTTGGGAAAGAGGGTGTTGATACCCAGGACGCTGATAGAGGCAGGACACAGGGGCATATTTATATTCCTAATCACTGTCGTTTTGTAACTTAGCAAAGTTATGGCATTAGTACCCAGGTTATGCTAATTGTTTTGAGGAGAAGTTGGTTGGAAAAGCAAGTCCACAAAACTGTTGAATTTTTTTTAACTTTCACAAAACGTATTTACCACAAAGAGGTAAAAATATAATTTTTTTTTTCTGGCTCATTTCTCAGCCAAATGTAGATACATAAATACACAACATTTTTAAATAAGTATATATTGATTTACATTTATTTAAATTTGGCTGAGAAATGAGCCAGAAAAATCACTTTCTGCAGTTTTGCTGCGATGTTTTCTCCTAGTCTGGTGTATGTTCCCTGTAGTCACTATCTGCTCTGATATCTTGTTGATCCCTTTCAGCAAACACTTAGTTGCCTTCCCATTAAGAATACCTTGAGCCAAAGTTCATCCTGCAATAACTGTCAGTGTGCCTAATGCTCTTTTTAGCAAATCCTTATGATCTGATTTTAAGAAGTGGGTAAATATAATTTCAGCCTATCACCAGGTTCCAGAAAAGATGTGCAAAGTCACATCTGTTTGTTTGGAAGAAAGCTGGGGCTCTGTTGCAGAATTCTCTGGGTTATTCCCTCTTTTTTGAGGATGATAGCAGGCCAAATCCATTATATTGATTACAGCAACAGGAGGGGTTCAGATGTGTCTTGTTTTTAACCAAGGCCAAATAAACCTCTGGCTGTCTTGCTGTTCTCTACCTTGCCTGGAAGAGCAGGAGTCCACATTGTTTGTGTGAATGAAATCTCTTTCAGGCAGCCAGCTGCAGTTGGGTTTTGTGGGACTTCAGAACCTAGAGTGCATTTTCTCCTGGATGTTCAGCTTCCCAGAAGTAATCTTAGCTTCTGCATCTCATTAGGCAGCCTTATCAGAGCCAGTTTGACTGTCCTGCTAATGCCTCTTTTTTCTGCTGCTACATGGAAAGGATGCAGGCTCCTGCCATGAATGTATTGTGTGCAGGACAGCCTTTGGGGGAGGAACTGAGCACTGAATAAGTGGGAAAGCTGCAAGAAGAAACAGAACACCTTTGGGAAGAAATGGGCTTTGCTTTCATCTTGTTAAGTGATAAGTGCTGCCTGAGCAAGCACCTTGTCTCTTAGGAAGTACTGACTCCAAAGGGATGCCCCAGGTCTGTAGGGCAGCATCCTTTCTGGGGCTGGATGTGACCAGGCTTCTCAGTCCCTTTGTGACCAAGCTGCTTGTCTGTCTTCCAGGCTGACTGCTTTTCAAATGATATCCATAAATTGGACACCACAAACATGATGTGGACCTTAATCTCTGCCAAGGTCAGTGTCTGTTTTTCACTCTGGTTTGTGGAGGAAGTTTTGCATCTGCTATTCTCTGGGGTAGCTGCCCACACTTGTCTCACAGCTTCTGGCTGATGTGGCTGTGATCTGCAGGATGGGAAGTTCTTCAGCAGAAGGCAGCCATCCAACTTCCCCATCAAGATGTGTTATTTCCCTGGGTAATCTGCACTCTTTCTTTTGTCTTTGTTTTTTACTCTGTCCTTCAGGGTACTCCAGCTCGCTGGAGAGACTTCCATTCAGCTACCATCATTGGAACAAAGATGTACGTGTTTGGTGGCAGAGCTGATCGTTTTGGGCCATTTCATTCCAACAACGAGATCTACTGTAACCGCATTAAAGTGTTTGACACAGAAACCAACTCGTGGCTGGACTCCCCTCCCACTCCCGTGCTCCCGGAGGGCCGGCGGAGCCATTCAGCCTGTGAGTGTGGGTCTGCTGAGGGTGGAGGATGGAAGGAAATTCCTGCCTGCCTCTGAAGGGGTGTCTGCTCTGCTGTGGGTTAGCAAGGGGTGCACAAAGCCCAGTTTCTGTGGAAAGCTGCTGCCCACCAAAAAGCCTTGCACACCACACTGCACATGAAGGTGATATAAGGAGAGGTGGACAGCCAATACCACATTGCTTTGTGTTTGATGTTGTGTCAGGGACCTGCTGGGCAGCCCTCTGACATCTGTGCTTACTCCCTACAGTCAGCTACAATGGGGAACTATATGTATTTGGTGGCTACAATGCACGTCTGAACAGACACTTCCATGACCTCTGGAAATTCAATCCAGGTATTTATCCTTTTAACTTGCTGCAGTGATAGTGCTCTGGGCCCTCAGGCATGTGAGTGCTCAGGGGAACATAGTGTCCAAGGAGTACTGCTTGGGGGGGAGGAATGGCTCTTGCCAACTTGCTACTATGCCTGTTCCTCCTTGGGATGTTTCCAAATCTCAGTTAGAAAGTGGAAAATGAAGTATTACTGAAAGACATATTTCATTGGAAAACCTTTGTCTCGTTCTTAAATATGCAAAAGTACTGACAGAAGAGAAAATAGAAGGAAGCAATAGGGTTAGGGAAGGGGGAGACTGTAGTGGGGGAACCATTCAACCTGAGCTGCAGAATCACCATCTCTTGGTACCAGCTTAAACTGTGTGGTGGTTCTTCATCTGGTACCCTGAATATCAGTCAGCTGTGAGCTGGTTCTGGGTCCTCAGTCCTCAGGCACATTTCATTCTCTAGACTCATTTTGTTTGCTAATTGGTTTGCAGAGTAAAGTTACCTGAGAGCAGCCAACCTGCTGCTCCCCAAGCTGATTGTGAGCTGGTCTGAGAGCTCCTGCAGGTTTCAGTCCTGTGCATTGGCGCCCCCAAGCATCCTTGCCACAGAGAGCAGCAAGAACAAAGGCTGCTGTCTCCACCTGGTTCAGTTCCCTACGCCCTCCTCCCTCAGCCGAGCTGTCCCAGCAGCTGATGTACCTCTGCCAGGGTGTTCTGTGATCGCAGCCTGCCAGCAGATGGAGCTGGTTCCTGGGTCTCCCTCCTCCAAATCCCGACCGAGGCAGGTTCTGGGGAAGGGAGGCTGCCTGTCTGCTCCTGCGGCTCTGCCCAGTACAGCTCCCTCTGATGTCAGACCCACTGCCATGGCAGTCTGTGGTTTCTGGTGCTCAGGCAGAGCACCTTTTCACTTTGCAAGTGAAAGGTCTTGATGCGGCCCTGAGCAACCTGGTTTAGTGCAAGGTGTCCCTGCCCATGGGAGAGGGCTAGAACAAGATGGTCTTTAAGGTCTCTTCCAATCCAAACCATTCTATGATATGACCTGTAAATCCTGTCTCAGCAGGCAGAGCTCCAGGACTGTGACTGGCATCCAAGTGGCACTTCAGTAACAACCTCATAGAGGTGCATCATTCAGCCATTAGTGAGGAGGTCAAGGGGGAGGATGGATATTGGCTAGTTGGTGTCTGGGGAGTGGGCCTCTGCTTTTCCTGTGATCTGTTTCAATTCATAACCTGCTTATAGCTGGTGTTGGCCAGGCTCTTGTGACAAGCTGGTACTCTTCCCATTAGTTTCTCTTTCTTGGAGGAAGATTGAACCCAAGGGAAAAGGGCCATGTCCTCGCCGCCGGCAGTGCTGCTGCAGAGTGGGGGACAAAATCATCCTCTTTGGAGGTACCAGGTGAGTTATGTGAAGTGGCTCCTGGAGAGGCTTTGACACTCCCTTCAGCACAGTGTGTCTTCATGCTCTGACCCATGCTGTATCTGATGGACTTCAGAGGCACATGGCAAGTGTCAGTCTATCTGACAAGTGTTAATAGTCATGTACATCAGGGCTCCCCTGGAAAAAGGCCATGGAAGAGACTGAAGGTGTCATGTAAGCTGTAAAGCATCTGGTGACAAGCCATCTTGTACATGTAGAGACAGAAGGGTGTAACAGGCTGCTCAGGAGGGGCTGTACAGTGCTCAGGCTTTCTGGTGAAGAGGTCATGGGGATAAGAGAGGAGATCCTGCTGTCAGAAGGACATGTATCTCAGTCTGCTGTGCCAGAACAGACCTCAGACTGACTTATCTTCACCTGCATGCTTCCCTGCTTCTCCCACCAGAGCTTCTTTCTTCTGTTGGCAAGTGTGGGTTCTGCTTCCAAGCTGCAGTGGGATGTCAGCTCAGCTGGGAGCTGTTTGAGGAGCCTACACCCATGACAAGACAATGTTGCCTTCTGTGCCAGTGTTCCTTAGCAACATTTCCATTCACATCAGGGACCTGGTGTTATGGATTTAGCTGTCAAACACTGGAAGTGATACTGTCAGGGTGCAGGGCAGCTGGATGTGGCCAAGAGCCTTAACAGCTGCTAGAAGAAAGGAAGTAGCCTATCACCAGGACACACTTTATGCTGTCTGGAGTGACATTGCAGCTCTGGAGCACAGTCCTGCTTTCTAGTATCTACCTTGCAGAGACATCTTAAATGCTTTCAGCTCTCCACATGGTTTGGAAAGCTTTGTGGCTCTCTCTGGGATCTTGACAGTGGCTTTTTGGGGATGCTTCTGAAGCCAGCTTGGCTGTCCAAGCAGGACAGGTTCTGCTGATGTCCTGACCATACCAGTATGTGGTGGAGTGAAGGGCATTCAGGTTCCAGGGGTTCAAGGAGCGTGTGCTTAGCTGTAGGATGTCCATGTGACTGTGAGGGAGTGCTCAGTGCAGGTGAGGTGTGCAGAGGTGCTGAGTTTATCCAGTCTCCTCAAAAGATACTGGGTGCTGCTCAGTGCAGCAGAAGGCTTTATGGGAGTTTTGGGTGGTCCAGATGCTGTGCTGTGTGTAGATTTGTGTTACAGTAGCAGCTGAACTCTGATGTTAAGCCTTGGCACTCCTGGGAAATGCTAGCAAACCACAACAAATTTGACACCAGCTTTTTTGAGTTTGGTCTGCTCTTTCCAAGCAATGCAGCAGTGCCTTGTCTTCTCCACTGGACCACTTCAGAACTCAGCTTGTTTCTTAAGTCAAGCTCAACCCCAACAGAGGCACATTCATCAGCAGTAGTGTGGGCTCCAAAGAGCTGCTGGCAGCCAGGAATGCAGCCTGCTTGAACTGGAGGGAGGGTCTTGTGAGCTGGGGAAATGGGAGGTGGGGGTGGGCTGTGCTCGCTTCCTGTAGCAGTTATCAGGTGTATTCTGGAGCTGCCTGGCGAGATAAGAAGTTTTCCAGGAAGTCGTTGTAATGGAGAACTCCCAGTGGTCTGCCTCCTGACCTGTGCTCCCCTGGCTGGGAAGGGGGAGGGGTCACACAGCACGGGCTGTCCAGCAGGGATTCTCAGAGGATGAGCCAGGAGGCTCAGCTTTCTAGGGAGCAGCACTGGGGGATGGGCAGGCAAAACCCCTTTGCATCCTGTCTGCCCTTCCAGGATTCACACATCCTATAGACTGCTGAAGAGGCAGTTATGCAGGCTGCTTGCTCCTATGGCATCCAAAAGCTTTTTCTTTGGTAGTCCTGCCCAGGGCTTGGTCTTCTTGCCCTAGCTGTCATCCCTCACTGTGGCCAGGAGCATTCCATCACTTGTGTCCCGTTTAAGGGACCAGGAAACTTGGTGTTCCCATTAGCTGTGTCACAGCTGTGGCCCTGGTCTGGTTTCCTCCCAAGCCCACCAGCAATTCAGTGTGCAGATACCATCCACAAGGAAGAAGGCAGGGGAGAAGGAATGCTATAAAACCGTTTATCTGAAGAGATGCTGATCCAGATTTGGCTTGAGACTGTCTTCCGTGACAAGGCTTAGGAATCCTGGCTCTGGTGAGAGAATAAGGGCTGTCGCTGAGTGCAGGGTGAGTTGTTTTGCATCTGGAATGAGCAGTTTTGCTGGGCACTGGTTGGCAAAGCTGTGCCCTGCACCCTTCTGCCTGGGAGTTGCAGGGGGTTGCCTGGTCTTGAACTCCAGGCTTATGCTGCTACTCGCCTTTTGGTAATTAACACCACAGATGTGGTGCCTGCTGGCTTTCCTTTGATAGATAAGGGATGGTCTAGGGTTTCCTGTGACGTGGATGTGAGATTAGATTGTGGTGTGGTAAGCACACGAGGTGGAGTTAAAGGGGCTCTTGCCTGTATCCGGGCAGATGGGCCCCATCAGCAACAGGTCTGCTCTGCCAGCAGTGAGCTGTGCTCTGCAGTTTGGCCTGGGGTTGTGGGGACCTAAGGGGGCAGGTACTTCCTCATGTCCCATGAGGTGTGAAGTTTAGTGGCTCCTAGGTGGGGAAACAAGTGACACTGGGGTGAGAAGTCACTGCATGAGGTCAGTCCCAGCTAAGAAGTGAGGGCACACTAAGTTGGTTTGTCATAGACCAAAGCAGGATTTAAAACACTTTCCCTTTCTTTCTAATTCTCCAAACAACCATCAGCCATGGGAGTGTTTTTCCCTGTTTTAGCATAGGCTGATCTCTCTGTGCAAGGAGATGTAGTGTCCAGTCTCTCAAGTGCTTTGGTTGTTCCACCAAGACCACAGTGGCAGGAAACCATAGGTGAGGCTGTCTGTTCCCTAGAAATGTCTGGTATTGTAATTCCTCATTAGCATTCCAGCATCAACATCAAATGGGACTATCAGCAAATCAGAACTGGTGTAAAATGACTGCTGCACTGCTCTAGTGCTCAGTTACAGTCTTCTGAAATGCCATCCTCATTTTGGCACAGCCACTCACTCCAGATGTGGCTGGAGTCCAAAGTGATTCCTGAGTCAGACTGAGGAATGTCTGTGCTTGCCCTGCCGTGCAGATGTTTTCTAGCTGCTTTCTCTACACTCCTCTTACAGCATCTCAGTGGCCAAGCTGAAATAATTGCAGTAGATCTTAACTACATGAGAACAGGTGTGATGGACAGGTGAGGTGAGGGGGAGGTTCATGACTGGAATCATCATGGTCATCCATGAAGAAGAGGCAGATCCCCCATGCCCTGCAGAGGAAACAGTGTGGGTTTCTGCTCCCCAGCTCTGTGCAGCTCTGCCTACTCTGCAAGGAGCTGGGAAAGTGATGACTTTGGGTGCTGCTTGGGGAATCAGAGCGGCAGGAGGGATCACAGGGCCCCTGCATGGGACAGGCAGGCCAGGAACATTCCTGGACTTGCTCAGCCCTTGCTGAGCTGGTGTGTAAGAATTTTGGCACTGTCTGACACTGTGCTTGGTTTCTGCAGCCCATCTCCGGAGGAGGGAATGGGTGATGAATTCGACCTGATGGATCACTCAGACCTCTACATCCTCGACTTCAGTACGTGAGCACTTCCTGCCCAGCCTGTACCTCTTGCCACAATCTGCCCTGTGAGCAGGCCCTGCTGTGAAGCACCCATGGTGCCTGGTGTCTGGAGCCAGACAGCTGTGTCTGACTAGTGTGCTTGGCTTAACACAGAGCAGCCAGAGGTGCAGCCCTGCTCTGTGCACTCCTGCATGTAGACCTCTTGTGGGAGCACAGAAACCACCCCAGCCTGTCCCTGGTGTGCTCTCTGCCTTGTCCCTCATACAAGGCTCTGCCCTGTTTCCTGTGGCACTGATTGCATGATGCTGGAGCCTCTATGGTGTCCAGTCAAGGCCTGCTGTAGCTTAACTGCTTTCTTTTCACAGGCCCCAGTCTGAAGACACTGTGTAAGCTAGCAGTGATTCAGTACAGCCTGGACCAGTCCTGCCTTCCCCATGACATCAGGTATGGTGTGCCTTGCTGGGAGGTCACTTTGTGGGTGCTCCCTGACCTTCAGGTGCTCCAGCCCTGCTGAGAGCTGCCCAGGGCCCTTGGCACTGTGCACCTTTGAGGTGGGCTGGGCTGGAGACTATAGCTGAGGCTGACATGAAGCAAAGCTGCTCCAGCCCTGGGCACTGTGTTTGTGCTTTCTCTCAGTGTATCCTCTTGGTGTGTTACAGATGGGAGCTCTCAGCCATGACAACGAACAGCACCATCAGCCGCCCCATTGTCTCCAACCAGGGCTGAAGACAACTCGTCTGTCTACCACCCTGCCCTCACCCCTCCACATACTGACCTCTTGCTCCACTGCCTGCATGAATTTTTAGCCCTTTCAAGCAAGGAATGTGTGAGCTCGGTTTGTCTTGCCCTAGCTAGGCCTCCCTCTGCCCTTGTCATGCTTTGGGCAGCACAAGTGGACAGGCAGAGCTGGCCACTGGGGGAAAAACTGTCTGGCCCCAGCAGCACAGCTGTGACCCCTCTCCTTGCTGGTGGCTCTAGAGCTTCCTTCCCTTTGCCTGTGGAACTACAGCTGTGTTGTCCGGTGTCCAGCCACTTTCCAAGGGCCTGAATCAACTCTTACCACCAGCCACGGCCCTGGGGTTGATGTCAGGGTCAACCTGAACTGTTCCTGCATTGCCTCAAGAGAGCAGTAACCTCTACACCTGCTCCTGCCAGCACTGACAGCTTCCTGGCACTAAATGGCAGGCCCCAGCTCCAAGCTGAGCCCAGTGTGGGGGCCTGGGCCCAGCTGGACACTGCCCAGCTCCTATTGTAAAGCATCAACTGGGGGAAGTTTTATAAATGGTGAGGCAGACATGGTTTCTGTGTGTCCTGGCAGATGAACTGGGGGAGAAGAGGTGCAAGAGGGGAGTGACTGAACCAGGTGCTTTTCCCTGAAGCTGCAGGCCACTAGTGGTTTGTGGCAGCAGCTTGCAGTGGCTGATGTGAGCCACAGCCCTGCCTGGGACGGGGAAGGGAAGCTGGGCACTCCCAGCAGCACTGGCATGGGGTACTTGCCTTCTGCCCAGAGTTGTGCTGTCCTGCAAGAGGGCAGAAGGAAAATGGTGTGTGTCTCCTGGGCTGTGCTCCCTCAGGTAGGTGGATGCTCTGTAGCTTCCTGCTTCAGGGCTGGAGGTGGAGGGATGCCTGGGACAGCCTTCCTGGGTGGCACAGAGGGCTGTGCTCAAGCCCTTTCCCACCAACATCTGATGGCGTCTGATGTGAAGAGGAGTTCCAGCGGCAACTGCAGTGGGGCTAGTGCAGAGAAAGCTAGGGAAGCACTCAGGGTGTTTCCTGGGATGTAAAGTCACAGGGGCAGCCGAGATGGTGGTGGCTGCATGCCAGGAACCTGTGTGGCAGAGGGCCCAGGCTGTCTTCCCTGCCCTGAGGGCTGGCATAGAGCCAGGGTCAAGTGCTCATCCTGCAGCACAAGGTTACAGAGGTGCCTGGGCTCCTCAGCCTGCAGGAGAGGTGGCCAATGCAAACACAATGGAGCAGTCTGGAGTGGTGTGAGAGCAGTGAAAACCCCATGGCAAGAGAACATAAGGCCCCACAATTGCAACAAGAGCTTGTTCTTCACACGCTGGCAGCACCTCACCATGATAGGTGATGAGCATCATTGACCTGGAGGGACTCAGGGTGTGCTGTGACAGCACATCTGGCTGAGGGGGAGCAGCCCCAGCCTAGGCTCATCCTTTGTGGTCCTTGGCACCTGCAGGTTACCCAAGAGGACTAAGGTGAATGTCTACCCTGTGTTGTCCAGTAGCTCCAACTCCCTCTATCAGCTGCCTCAGCCACAGGCAATCTCACAAGCTGCAAAATAAATGGTGGAGTTTTTTGGCCGTGCACTGAAGCACCAAGCTTGCTCTCCTTGCAGGGTGCCAGGCACTAGGAAATGCCTCTTGAGCACCCAGAGTCCCCAAGCTGGGTTATGTGGTACTGAGCACAGAGGCTCCTCAATCCTGTCCATGAATGGCTGTCACTGAGAGGAATCACAATCTCTGGGGCATCGAAGAGAGACAACAGGCCCCAAAAAGGCTCAGCACCCCAGGCCAGAGCTGCCTCTAGGAAAGCAAACCTTTATCAGGGAGAAGTCTTCTCTGGGAAGAAAAGAAGGGGCTCATCAGGGAGAGGGGTCACTGACACCCCACTTCTCTTCAAGGATTCTCTTTGGCTCAGGGGTGCTGTGGCTCTAACCTGCCTCTTCCAGGAACCTACTGCAGGCCTGGGCACGGGACACTGCTCACCACATTGGTCCACGTGCCTCCAGTGTATTTTCTTGGCTTATCAGCTCCTTCTCCCAGCACCCAGCTCAGTCAATCAGTAATGCTGGAGAGCATCTCCCAGTCTGGCAGACTAGACACAGGATGTTCTGCAGGGCTGGCAGGAGCTGGGCAGATGTGTGCCCCACAGGGAGATATCTGCTGCCTTTGTCACTGCCCCCTCCTGAGCGGCAGGTTTGCTTTAAAGACCCTGGCTTCCTTTTATTACTTCCCCTCTCAAATTTCAACTGGCTGCAAGGGCTATTTTTAGCAGCCTGCCTTCTAAAAATAGCCCTGAGCTGTTTGGAATTGCGTCACAAGAGGTAACTCTCTCAGTGAGTGGCTTGGCCTCTGCACCTCAGGAGGGTACAAAAGGAGGCCAGGAGCAGCAGGGTCAGCAGGTTCAGCCACAGCCAGAGGCGAAGGAGGCAGCGGTTCCCTGCCAGCTTCAGGCCATCCCAGCCCCGGCAGCATGACCATCTTCTGCAGCCACTGCCACCGGCCACTGCAGGCAGAGATGAGCTGCCTGCCCACGAGGGCCAAGCAGGCACCCAGTGCCTCCAGGCCGTTCAGGTGAGCTCCCTCCCGCCTCCTGCCCTCGCTCAGGGCTGCGATGGCCTCCCAGAACCCCGGGATTAGGTGTAGGGTCTGATGGCCCTTGCAAGGTGCTGGCAGCAGCCTGGGACAGCGGGACCGTCAGCCGGTGCATGGGGAGGAGGTGCAGGAATTTGGAGGGGCAGAGGTATTTTAGGTGGTTTAGGAGGAAAGGCATGCTGTACTGGGCTGGGGTGCACAGTTCGGCACTGGATGCAGTTTCCATCCTGGTGAGGGTTGGTGGGGAGGTTGTCATATGGGCTCCCCACCAAAGCACAGGTCATTGTCCAACCTGGCACCCAGCAGGAGAGGCAGCAGCCATACCAGCAGCGTGTGCCCTGGGTAGGCTTGAGCCCCTCTGCCTGTGCCCACAAGGTTTGCTCTCCTAGAGGCAGCAGCTGGCACGGGTGCTGAGTATCTCCACTCCATATCCCCCGAGCTCGGAATTTTTCCCACAGTTACAGGCAGGGAATGCCGTTCCTTTCCCTCCCTGGACACATGTCCCAGGTGGCTGGCTTTGCAGGTCAACCAAGAGTGCCTCCAAGGCTCGCCGAGACCAGATCAATGCGGAGCTGCAGGCACTGCGCTCCCTGCTGCCCATCTCTGCACAGGAGAAGGAGCGACTCTCCTACCTCCACACCATGGCCCTGGTGTGCCTCCGGCTGCGGGGGGCTCAGCTGTTCCCTCCAGGTACCGCAGCACTGCTGTACGCCACAGCCGCTTGGCTCTCTGTGGGGCACTGCCCCTGCCTCATCCTAGCTTCACCCTCACCCCCTGCAGGCTTGGCTCCTCCTGCGGGACCGGCCCTCGGCACAGAACTACTCTCCCTGCTCCCGGGGTTTCTGCTTGTGCTCTCAGCAGACAGCAAGCTGGTCTACATCTCAGAGAACGTGGCTCAGGTCCTGGGCCTCTCCGTGGTAAGGCCTGCTCACCGGGCATTTGCAGTCACTGTCACCATACCCATCCCGGTGCCTTTATTGCATGCACAGCACACTGCCCCAGCAGACGCTGGGCTGTGGTTCCAGCAGGCTGTGCACCCACGATGCCAGCCAGGGTCCACTGAGACAGACACAGTCTCTGAGGGCAGCCCCCTCTTTGTCAGGTGGAGCTGCTCGCCCAGGGGGACACGGTCTTTGACATCCTGGATGGGCGAGTGGGAGAGGATGTGCACAAGAAGCTCCTCCTTGCCCGGGAGGAGCCTGGCAGAGGTAAGGGAGGCCTCAGTTGGCATCACATTAATCTTGCTAGCCTGCTCTGCCCCTTGGCTGTGATTAGAGAGCCAGGGCCGGCTCCTGACCCACTCTGAACAGTGTATTTTCCTGCAGAAGTTACTTTTGTCAGCGAGATGCGCACGTCCAAGGCCTTCCGGCTGCAGCACGGGGGGAATCGGGTCGTGGCAGTGTGCGGGCGCTTTGTGGCTCTGTGCTGGCCACCCTCCCCCTCCACCACAGCCTTCCTGGCCCTCTGCACACCCGTTGTGCAGTCGCCCACAGATGGCGAAGCTGCTTCCCAGGACGACATATTCCAGAGCATGCATCTACTGGACATGACATTTATTGATGTCACGGAGAGGTGAGGGGTGCCTGCTTGTACCACAGCCCCAGCTTTACATCTCAGGCAGCAAGAATCATCTCCCTTCCCCAAGCCTATGCATGGGATGCAGGCTAGACACTGCATGAGCACTGAGACTCTCACAAACACCTCCCAAAGCTCTTCCCTCATTTATGACTTATTTCTGTACCTCTGTTGTTTCATTCTCCATCACGCAGCAGCTGCTCCTTGCTGACACTGTGCAGGCTCTGCACAGCTCTCAGTCCCCACTCCCCTTGTCTTCCCCAGTGTCACCTACCACCTCGGCTACCACAGGGAGGAGCTGGTCGGTCAGTCGTGGTACAGCCTCCTGCACCCTGAGGATGCTGACCTGGCAGCTGCCCAGCACAGGGCCGTGGGTGAGTGTCAGGCCCGGGAAGGTGCGTGCTGTCCCCCTCCTTCCATGGTCTGGTTAATGCCTGAAACGTGGCTACCCAGGAAGCAGCGAAAAAGCAAATTGAGCCCTCCCTGTTGTGACTCCTTGCTCCAAAAAAGACGAGGCAGGGAAGTGGTTACACACCCCATACACTGTGTATATGTAGTTTCCAAGCTGGGTGCGGGCATCGTACTTTGCCACGGTATACAGAAGAGGGACAAACCCACTTGAGCGCTACCTCTTTGGGAGGGCAGGACCGCTACGGACCTGATTCTGCTCTGGGTGGCTTCTGTCCCGCTGGGGCCAGACTAGTGACCGGCGGCAGAGCCCATCGGGGCAGCCTTCGGGCTATCCAGGCAGCCTGGGGCCGTGCCCTGCTGCCGGCTCACGCAGTCCCTTCCCCGCAGCGCTGGGGTCCGGGCCCGGGCCCGCAGCGGGGACCGCCGTGCTGCG